ACCCCATTATACAGTTATAGATGTAAGGCAAAATAGTCATTAAACCAAGTTAAAATCAAAAGTCACATTATGTCCATAGTTACATCAGTCCATCTTAAGGTTGTTAGATGTCATCAGTTTAAGAAGAGTCATTACATGCGATTGTTGAAAGTATTTGCAGACTTGGAGAAAGTCTTTTCTTTGAAGGGGATATGTCCTCCATGGGACGCCTTCCACTGATGAAGAGGGGAGTGCTCCGCAGACCCAAAAGTTAGACTGTGGAATGCAGCATAGGAGTGAGCCCAGGACAGGAAGGCATTGTCTTGAGGATCAAACGGCAGACTCAGGATTTCTGGAGTCAGCAGAAGTAGGCGCACGTAGATTATCAGGCCCATCCTCCAACTGGCCACCGTTCGCCGTCCTCCAGTGGGCACCGCGGCCATGCAGTATCACACAGGAAGACCAGGTGTTTCTTCTTTAAGCCCTGGGGATCAAATCTATCCCAGTTTTTCAGGATACAGTTCAAAGGAGTGAGGCTGGAATTGTTAGCTCCCATCTGTAAGAGAGAAAAAAAGCGACCAGCGCCATTTTTTCTACCGGAGGCGTCCCTCCCTGCTCTAGATGGGGGTGTAGACAGACTTTACACCAAAAGCTTTTCCTTCCTGGTCGGACTTAGTCTGTCCCTTACCGACGCAGGCGTCACACTCGTCCCTCCCGGTTCTACCACCGAGACGGGGTGGGGATGCACCAGGGGTAGACCTGACGGCATCCCTGACTGACGTCCAGCCCTTCACCTCGCTTGCCTCTGATGCCACCCGGGGTGCAATCAGAGTAACCTTCCAGAATGCTTTCCAGGCTAAGACCTCTGGGGGGACACATTTGTCACCTGAGTGCCTGTGCACGACCCTAAGTATATTCCTGACCACAGTAAGACCGATACAAACATGAAACTAAGATGTTCCTTCCAAGCGTCACCACACCGGTATAAGAGCCTCCTCTGGTCCACTAAGAGCCAGTGTTACCAAAGAAAAAAAAACCACTGCAGCTCCAATCCGAGTCACCTTTAACCTCAGAGATGCTCTTGGAGTTAGAGCTCCATCTAGCTTCTGAACTTTCCATGCCTAGCGAGGCTAGGCGCTTCCTGACTACCAATCCAAGTTTGAGACCTAGGCCACAGCACAGTAGCAACATAGATTACAAGTCCCTTGAAAGCCTATGATCCGATAGATTAGGTTAGTACTTCTAATTCCCAAGGAGTTATGAAATGGTCAAGGAGACCGAAAAGTTGACCGAGAAAGGAGAGTTCGGTCCACACGTTTTGCCTGTTTCTGGTTGGTTCCCGAAGGAGACATTGGTTGCCTCTTGGCATTGGCAGGTCGGTATAAACCCCCTACAGATTTCTGTCATAAGCCTTATGAGGTCGCCGCGGAACCACAGAGCAGGGCTCCTCACTTGCTTCACGCAGGGCATTTCATTCATTCACACAAGCACACCATAGAGTTAGTAAAGTACAGCAGAAAACATGTTTGCTAGGAGAACAAAGAACTAGAGCTCCAAGCATCCTTACCTTGTCTTGAAGGATCCCGGACGAGCCCCCAAGATGAAAGGTTGTTGCTGAACGATTAGACGCGGGATTCTTGGCCTCCGGAGGAGACGAATTCAATCTGGGGCCAGAGACGAGGCTGGATCGCTCAGAGCTTTTGTGTAATAAAGTTTTATTAAAGTATAAAGGAGATAGAGAAAGCTTCTGACATAGGCATCAGAAGGGGGCAAAAGAGTACCCCTTGTTATCTCATTTCACTATAATTATCTCCTTAAAGGCCCTATCTTCTACTAGTCATGGGGGTGGGGAGTTCGAGCTTCAACTTATGAATTGGATAGGAGGTGGATACAGTCCACCCATAACCCCAGGTGAATCCATCAACAGGAACCCCGGATGACTGCTACTCAGGAAGATTAACCAGTTTATACTCAATACCATTAGATTCTGTCATTATTTCCTCTAATCTTTTTTTTCCATCTAGAGAGTGAAAACTTTTTTGAGGATATCATTCAGTATTTGCATGACACAGTGAGCAGAGAACAGCTGGAACTCCTGCTCACTGAAGAGGAAGCCTGGGAGAGTTTTGTGGCTGAGGCTGATTTGTCCAGGTAACATGCACGAGTGCATCAGAAATGTCACCTGTATCCCCCTGCACCAGGGTAGCTTCCTCCTGGCAGGCACACCTCCTCCAGGCAGGACTATGGTTGGGGGTAGAGGATGTTCCTTCTCAAGATTCTATGAGGAAAATTTCCTCCGTGTCATTTTCTGGTAGTGAATGGTCTCAGGTTGAGAAGAGATGAAACGTGCAAAGAAGGGGGCAGGTTACATGGCCTTGGACAAGTTATCGATCTGCTTTTGGCCTTAGTTTCTTCATTTGCTCAGTTTTATTGTGAGGACACTGAGGTCATGCATGCAAAGTGCTTCTGTAATGACTGACACAGAGTCAGTGTGCTGTGCGGTGATTAGTTGCTTCAGTCATGTCCGACTCTTTGCACTCCATGGGCTGTAGCCCACAAGGCTATTTGTCCATGGAATTCTCCAGGCAAGAATACTGGAGTGGGTTGCCATGCCCACCTCCAGGGGATCTTCCCAAACCAGGGATGTAACCCAGGTTTCCTGCATTGCAGACAGATTCTTTACTGTCTGAGCTACCAGGGAAGACCAAGAATACTGGAGTGGGTAAACTATCCCTTCTCCAGGAGATCTTCCTGACCTGGGAATCAAATTGGGGTCTCCTGCATTGCAGGCAGATCCTTTACCAGCTGAGCTACCAGGGAAGCCCACAGAGTAGGTGTTCAACGTTAACCTTTAAAATAAGCTTTTTGGAAAGAGACAGGGGCCAAGGTCCTTTTTCCTGGTGATGAAAACCAGGTGGGGCCCTAGTTAGGATAAGTCAGAAAATCCTGACACCAGCATCACTTTGTGTTCCTGGGATTCTGACTAGAGTGCTCTCATTCCCCATCTTAGGAACTGTATCAGCCCTGCAAGATCCTGCTGCCCCATACGGCAGAGAGGCTGGAGAGCAACTGAATGGAGCTGGTGGGGTCCTGGCTCTAGTCCTGCCCAGCTCTGGGGCTCTGAGCTTATGTCTTGGAGCATCGGATCTGTCCTGTGTCCAATGGGAATAGCAGTTCAATCTGATGGATTGTGGTGATGGCCTCAGAGTGAACTGCAGGGTCAGAGGTGGGGAACCAAATGGAATCATCTCGTCCAAAGGCCCAGGGAGGCCTGCATCAGGGTCAGACCCAGGGTCAGGGTGGAGCAGAGGGTCCAAGTTGGAGGACTAGTAGGCAGGCTTGGGCAGCAGGGCCAGGACTAGAGTGAGGAGAGTGGGCCTCAAGGACACAAACCGAAGGGGCTGTGACCCTAGCTGAGGTCCCCCGAGTGGGAGGGGGGACATTTCTTCCCTCCCTGACGGGATCCCCTCACACTGGGCTAGAGGGCCCTAGGTGACCCTGTCTGCACACCCTGCCTGGGACCTGGGTTCTCCCTCCATCTGGGACCCTCGTCTAATCTAAGTGGAACCTCCCTGACAGTGGAAGGCCATGTGGCTCAGTGAGCCCTCCAGGCCCACAGTGAGTGGCTGCGATTGTGTGTCATTTGAGGGATTCTGAGGAGCCTCACGCATCCCCACCCAAGAGGAAAATGCTTCCTCCACCAGCTGTGCAAGTGCCGGTCTCCTCAGGCTCAGCTGTTCAGATGGGTGTTTCCTCAAGCCTCTTGAATCTTTAGAGGTTCCACAAAGTTGTACACAGCCTTGGAGGGCAGGCAGTTGAAGCTGTCACAGATAAAGTGTGAGTTAGACTGGTGACCCCTGAGAGTCAGGGTGCTGGGTGATGAGTCAGGAGTCAGGGAGATGTGCTGGAGAGTCCCAGGGAGACAGGCTCACAGCACAGCTCCTGGTTCTCTATCAGTTGGGACAGTGGGTAGACCCAGTGACCTACAGCTGGGAAGGCCAATGTTATCAGGCTTGAGGGAGAGCAGATGCCAGGCAAAATGACCTTTAAGGGTCCTTATAGCTCTGAGTAATGTATTTAAAAAGATTCTATGTACACAGAGTTAGCCAATCTGTAAATTGCAAGGGCACAGTCCCCAGGACTGTCCTTACATTTGACATCAATGGCAAGTTTGGGGGTTCCCAAAGCTACTCGAAGGTCTGAGAATTCCCTAGAGGGATGCACAGAACTCACTGAAAGCTTCATGATCCCAGTTACAGTTTATTACAGGGAAGGATGAATGTTCCCATCAGCCACAGGGCAGAGTCTGGGCGGGTTTCACACACGAAGCTTCCATTTTCATCAGGATGCATTACTGTCCTGTATTCAGTGTGTGGCAGGACACACGGAACACTGCCCACCAGGGACCCTCACCCTTTTTAACAAGTTATCCTGACCTGTTTTCTCCAGCCCCCACCCAGAGGTCAGACTAATGCCCTAGAGTCCAGCTCCTCCAGAGGTGAGAACTGACACCATGTGACCCAAGGCCCCATTACGTCACTTTGTCAGACTGTCCAGTGTCTAAAGTCCCAGGCAGAGGAGGACACTCCTATCAGCCAGAATATTCTAGGGCTTATAAGGACCACTTTCCAGTAGCCAAGGACAAAGAGCAGGTTGACTCCTCACTAGACACTGAGGCCCTTGAACGAAGGTTTTCTCCTCCAAGCCCACTTCTCTTTGTTTCCTCTGTGGCGTTCCCACTCTAAAAACTCTTTGGAAGTGTTGGTGTTGACCTGCCTCTGAGGCATCTTTATCAAATAACTCTCTGAAGTTAAGCATATTCTAAGATGACCTTTGCTGATTTTTCCCATGACAGAATAAGTATATGGAGCATCTACAATGTCCAAACATGCTTAATGTTGAAAAACATTTTACATTTGTAAAATTCTTTCCTTGTGATTCGTAATAAAATATCTGTGGTTTACACAGGATAGCTCTTGTCAAGACTATTTTATGGAGTCCCTTGATGTTCACTGTTACAGGGAAGAGACAGATGCCATACATGAATATCTGCTGGAGCTGAAAACAGACTTGGTAGAGGAGGACCAACACAGGCCACAAAAGGACCAGCTGGACAGGAAGTGGTTTTTGGAGGAATTTCCTCGGGTGAAACAGGAGCTGGAGGACAGCATAGCAAAGCTCCATGCGCTGGCAGACAAGGTCGACAAGGTGCACAGGGACTGCACCATCTCCAGCGTGGTGGCCAACTCTGCCGGCGCTGTGTCTGGCGTCCTGACCATCCTTGGCCTGGCTCTGGCACCCGTGACAGCAGGCATCAGTCTGGGACTCTCAGCCACTGGGTTAGGGCTGGGAGCAGCGGCTGCTGTGACCAGCGTGTCCACCAGCATCGTGGAACACGTAAGCAGGTCATCAGCAGAAACCGAAGCCAGTCGCCTTGTGCCAACAGATATCAATGAAGAGGGGGCGTTTGCAGAGGTTTTACAGAAAAGCACAACCCAGATTGTTTCCTCTACAAAGAACTTCATCCAAGCCTTGCAAGGCATTGGGAAAAATGTTCGTGCCATCAAGCTGGCCAGAGTCAACCCTCGCTTAGCGTCCCACGCTAAGCGCTTCATGACTACAGGGCGAGTCTCCGTCCAAAGCGGAAAGCAGGTGCAGAGAGCCTTTGGAGGTACAGCTCTGGCAATGACCAAAAGCGCCCGGATCATGGGTGCAGCCACGGCAGGTGTTGCCCTCCTGATGGATGTGGCCTTACTGGTGAAAGAGGCAAAGCACTTGCATGAAGGGGCAAAGACAGAGTCAGCACAAAGGATGAGGCAGCTGGCCGCGGAGCTGCAGAAGAAGTTGGAAGAGCTCACCCGGAGCTATGAGAGTCTGTAGGAGGGCTGGACTTGGCCCCTACCAGGGCAGTGTAGGGAGCCAAGGGAAGAAGGTACCTTGTTAGAGGGGAAGCAAGACAGAGGGGGAAACTGGGCTGGTCTCTTGACTTGTTTTAGGCCATTGCCTGGACTATGCCATTTTCCCAAAGGAAGAGAAAACCTTAAATCCTCTTGTATTCAAAACATGTCATTTTCTTCCCTAAATTCTCCCTCTTGGCTCAAGATGAGTCACAAAGCTTCAAGTACCACTGTTCAAAAAGTATTTTTTTAAAAAATACAGAATAAGTGTCACCAATTTGTTCATGTCTCTAGATCTGCTTCCTCTGCATTTATTTTTAAAAAGCTTAATAGGAAACCAACACCTTTTTATTTGCCCAACAGTCACATGATCAGGGAGCCCAGTTCATAACACCAGCCCTGACCTCTTGCTCTGTCTGTCCTTTGTTGGCAGGTAGAGGGGAGAGGCTGTGACATAGCATCACGTCTGACCTCTCTTACTCTGATTTCTGCATCCCTCCATGGTGCCCCTCTGAGCATTTCACCAAAGATCTACATCACCTCAAGGGGACCCCAGGCAGAAAACAAACAGAACTTTCTAGCTTCTGTGTTATTGAGTTTTCTAAATTGAAGTATGGTTGATTTCCAAGATCATGTTAGTTTCAGGTATATAGTACAGTGATTCTGTTATGTATATATACAAAGAGTATGTATTTTTCAGATTCTTTTCTCTTATAGGTTATTACAAGATATAGAGTATAGTTCCCTGTGCTATATGGTAGGTCCTTCTCAGTTATCTACTTTATATATAGTAGTGTTTATCTGTTAATTCTAAACCTCTAATTTATCCCACCACACCCCTTCCCCTTTGGTAACCATAAATTTTTGATTATCAGTAATTATTTGATGTTCTACTACATGTTTGTTTGTGTTTTTTTCCAGAGGGGATTGGGGGATATTTCTTTTTTCAGTGAAAACTCCTATACGTCCTGTCTCCTTTACCTCTTTGGAACAGCCTTGCAGAGCTCCTGAGAGACTGGCTGTTGGACTAGTCTCAGTAAGGTCACTGAATGAATATAAAGTAATGCTCGACTTCTAGGCTGTGCCTTCCTTCAGTGAACAATACTGAGTGATGGATGGATTGATGGTGAGGAACTGGCTTCTGCAGCTGTGGGAGGGCCAGACAGGTCTGAAGTCTGCCAGGCAGGCTGTCAGGAAGGGACGGCAGAACTTTCAGGTCCGGGATGAATCTGCAGTCCAGGGCAGAATTTCCTCCTATCGCCAGATCTTTAATGTAAACAGCCTTGCAAGGAACCCTTTGCTTTTTGAGGCAGCATGTTCACAGATTTCCCGGATTAGGGTGTGGACGTCTCTGGAAAGCTGACAACAGCCCCCGAGTAGCCATCGCCCTTCCTATTCATTCATTCATTCTCTCATTTTTCCCCGCGTGGTCCACCTCAGGGCTAGGCCTGTGCTGAGGACTGGGGGCATAGAAGGCGGCCACCGTGGAGGCTGCGGCACAGAGTGGAGGTCAGGTTCAGAGGACGTTGGTGACACGGTGGGGGGGTACGATCCAGGAGGAGAGGATGGGAAGGCTGCCTTCTAAGGAGGGGGAAGCGTGTCTGTGGGGACAGGGACTGTGCCAGGGCCTGAGGAAAGCCATGGCTAGAAAGGAAGGGGACCCTCTCTGCCGTCAGATGTACTCCGGCCCTTGGTGGCAGGAGGGGAGGGAATTGGGTTCTAGAAAATCAGACTCTGATGTACCAGGGAGTGAAAAGCAAAATTCCCAAGGTTTCTGAAGAAAACAGTGGAGACCTGAAGTGATTGCTGAGGGGCCTCTGGTTAACCCTTGACCTCCTCCCTGCTCCCACCTACTCCTTTTATGATCAAGTGTGTGTGGGTTTGAGAAGCAGAGACAGGTGGAGAGTTCAGGCAGGACCAGAGAGACTGGGGCTCGTTTGCTCAGCCCTTCATCCCACAGAGAGTGGCCAGAGAGAGGCCCAGCCAGGTCCTCCTGCCAAGGGGCCCACTTGAGGCTGGGGTGTTGCCAAGGGCCACTGGGCTGGGCCTCACTGCACGGGTGACGCCTAAAGTCCTCTCCTTTCACCGGCCTTCTCTGCAAGGCCCCCAGCCTTGCTTCCTCCAATTGCCAAGTGCTAGGGGGCGCCACTTACAGGGAGGCCTGTAAAGCAGATGCAGGCTCCCACCATGGAAGCTGAGTGAATGGGGTGGGGAGGGGGTGGGAGGGCTGTGCAGTTCAAAGCCTCCTCTCCGCTGCTGTGACATTAGGGCGCTTCCCACCCTCGGCCCTGGCCCAAGGCCATCAGCTCGGGAGAAATCCTGCCCAGAGTTACAAGGCCCCAGTTACTTCGCTTCCTGCTGCCATTAACCACATCTGCAGCCCATTGGAGAAAAATCTCCAGAAAAGCAACAACTATGTCTGCCAGTTCACCACACTATCCCCGGTGTCTCCACAGTCCTGGCACTCATTGGGGGCACAGTAAATGCCCCTCTTCTTTCCTTCAATTACTGCACGTTAATTAGTCTACAGTGTGGCAGGCAGGTGCTAGTCTGGGACTTGGGCCTTTTAGACCTTTCTTCACTTTACAGCTGAGGAAAGGGAGACTCAGAGAGGTTAAGCGACTTGCCCAAGGTCACACAGCAGGTAATAGAGTGGATATTTGGACCTAGTTCTTCTACCTGACTTTTTTCCACTTGACCCAAAGTATTGCAGCGTGAAAGTGTGGAGGCAAGAAGAGGGGGTGGCCTATTGGGGTGATGACCAGAACAGCAGGAGATGAGGTGGGACAAATGGGCTGGGGCAGGGTTATGATGAGCATAGAAGGTCAAGGGAGGGACCCGTAGGATTTGGCCTTCATCTAGCAGGCCACAGGGACCAGGAGTTTGTTTCTGCTGCAGGTCCTTATTCAACTAAAGTAGTCTCAGGGAGGGGCTTGTCACAGTATTCAGTTTTCTCATCTGAAAAATGGTACAAATATATTGATGTTTTAGTAATCCCAGTGGAAAGTCTGAGTGAAACATACCAGGGCTAAAATCCACGTTTGTGTTTTTTGCAGTTTATTTATTGTAGCTGATTTCTAGTATCATAGTGTCATGGTTAGAAAGATGCTTGATATGATTTCAGCTTTCTTAAATTTACCAAGGCTTGTTTTGTAATCTAGCATGTGATCTACCCTGGAGACAGCTGCATGTATGTTTGAAAAGAGTGCATTTTTTGCTGCTTTCAGACAGGATGCTTTATAAAGTCCATCTGGTCTAATGTGCCATTTAAGGCCTGTGTTTCCTTATTAATCTTCCATCCGGATGATCTGTCCATTGGTGTAAGTGGAGTGTTAAAGTACCCCACTAGCTCAGATGGTAAAGAATCTGCCTGCAATGCAGGAGACCCACGTTTGATCCCTGGGTTGGCAAGATCCCCTGAAGAAGGGAGTGGCTAGCCACTCCAGTATTCTTGCCTGGAGAATTCCATGGACAGAGGAGCCTGGAGGGCTACAGTCCATGGGGCCACAAAGAGTCAGACATGACTGAGCTACTAACACACACACACACATTATTTTGTTACTGTCAGTGTCTCCTTTTATGTCTGATAACTTTTGCCTTATATATGGAGGTGCTCCTGCATTGGGTGCATATAAATTTACAATTCTTATATCTTCTTCTTGGATTGGATCCTCAATCATATGTAGTGTCCTTCTCACTGCTATATTTAAAATGGATATCCAACAAGGATCTACTGCATAGCACACAGAACTCTGCTGGATGTTATGTGGCAGTCTGGATGGGAGGGGAGTTTGGGAGAGAATGGATACCTATATATGTATGGCTGAATCCCTTTGCTATTTACCTGAAACTATCACAACATTGCTGATTGACTATACCTCAGTACAAAATAAAAATTTAAAAAAATCATATGTAGTGTCCTTCTTTGTCTCTTGTAACAGTCTTTATTTCAAGGGCTATTTTGTCTGATATGAGTATTACTACTCCAGCTTTCTTTTTTATATGTATATAATTCTCTTTATTCATTTCTTTTACTTTTGGTTGTGCTGGGTCTTTGTTGCTGTGTGGGCTTTTCTCTAGTTGCAGCAAGTGGGGACAACTCACTAGTGGTGTGTAGGTTTCTCACTGTGGCAACTTCTCTTGTTGGGGGCCACAGGCTCTAGGGCACACGGGCTTCAGTGGGCTCTCGGACTCTCTAGGACTCAATAGTTGTGATACACCAGCTTAGTTGCTTCACAGTATGTGTGATCTTTCCGGATCAGGTACTGAAACTGTGTCTCCTGCATTGGCAGGCAGATTCTTTACCACTGAGCCACCAGGGAAGCCCCCACAATCCAGCTTTCTTTTGCTTTCCATTTGCATGGAATACCTTTTTCCATCCCCTCATTTTCAGTCTATATGTGTCTCTAGATCTGACGTGGGTCTCTTGTAGACAGCATAAATATGGGTCTTATTTTTTAATACGTTCAGCCAATCTGTGTCTATTGGTAGAGCATTTAATCAGTTTACATTCAAGGTAATTATTGAGATGAGTGTTCTTTTTTTTTTTAATTTAATAGGTCTTTCTTTCCCCTTTTCCTCTTTTGTTCTCTTATGATTTGATGACTATCTTCAGTGTTATGTTTTGATTCTTTTTTCTTTTTTGTGTGTAAATTCATTATAGATTTTTTATTTGTTACCCTTAGGTTTTGGTATAACAGTCTCTCTCTCTATATATATATATAATCATTTTAAGGTGGTCTCTTAATTTCAAATTCATTTAAATACCTTGCATTTGTACCCTTCTCCTATCATGATTATTTGTTTTGATATCCTATTTGTATGTGAATAGTTTCCTCCCTTTACTGTATGTTGGCAGTTACCAGTGAGTTTTTCCATTTCATATTTTTTCTTGATTCCTAATTGTGGTCTTTTTTTTCCCCTTGAGAAATTCTTTAGTATTTGTTGTAAAGCTGGATTGTTGGTATGAATCCTTTTAGCTTTTGCTTGTTTCTGAAGATTTTTACTTCTCCAACAAATTTGAATCAGAGCCTTGCTGGGAGGAGTATCCTTGATTGTAGGTTTTCCCTATCATAACTTTAAATATACAGTGCCACTCCCATCTGGCCTGTAGAGTGTCTGCTAAAATATTAGCTGATAGTCTTATGAATATTCCCTAGTGTACACATATTCTTTCTCATAGTGATGCATGCTGAAACAGATCTGTCTCTCTCCTGTCTCCCCTCAGACTGTGGCTCCTTGACAGCAGGGCTGTTCTTTCTTTTTTAAACTTTATTACTGTTGTTGTTTTGGCTGCACTGGGTCTTTGTTGTTGTGTGCAGGCTTTCTCCAGTCGCAGCGAGAAGGGCTACTGTCCATTGTGGTGTGTGGGCTTCCCACTGCCGTGGCTTCTCTTGTTGCAGAGCACGGGCTGAGTGCTTGTGGGGCACGGGCTCAGTGCCCCACAGCAAGTGGAATCTTCCCAGATCAGGGGTTGAAACCACGTCTCCTGCATGGGAAAGCAGATTCTAAACTATCGGACCATCCGGGACATCCTCCTTGTGTATTATTTGTAGCTTTTAATATTTTCTCTTTGTTTTTCATTTTTTTCAGTGTAACTATTATGTGTCTTAGCATGTTCCTCCTTGGTTAATCCTGTATGGGACTGTCTGTTTCTAAATTTCTGAAATTTGTGTTTTTATGTATATAGTGGGTGAGTTATGTTTCACTCTGAACTTGAGTAACTGTTACTTTTCCCATGTTAGGGAAGTTTTCAGCTGTTATCTCTTCAAATATGTTCTGAGGCCCTTTCTCTTCTCCTTCTGGGAACCCTACAATGCAAATGTTGATCCATCTGATATGGTCCCAAAAGTCCATTAAACTCTCATTTCTTTTCACTCTTTATTCTGCTTCACAGCAGTGGTTTCTATCTCTCTTCCAGCTCACTGATTCATTTTTTTTTTTTTTGCCTTATTCTGCTATTGATTCTTTCTAGTGTATTTTTCATTTCAGTTATCATATTCTTCAACTCTGATTGTTTTTTATCTAATTCTTTGCTAAAAAATTACTTGTAACTTCTCATTTTCTTCATCCATTTTTCCCCCCAAGTTCTTGGATCATCTTTACAATCATCACCCTGAACGCTTTCTTGTGTAGATTGCCTATCTTCACATCACTTCGTTCTTCTGGGATTTTATCTTGTTCCTTCATCTGGAACGTATTTCTTTGCCATCTCATTTTGTTTCAATTTCTACTTGTATGTAGTGGGTGAGTTATGCTTCTCAGCTTTGGAGAATTGGCCCTTTGTAGATGTCCTGAATCCCAGCAGTACACTCCCCTCTCGTCACCCAAGGGCCAGGAACCAGCTGGTGCAGGTAGTTCTGACCTGCATTTGCACACTCACTTACAAGATGTTTTCTTGCTTCTGGTGTCTGCCCCCTGGTGGGTGAGGCTGGTGGAGAGGCTTGTGCACGCTTCCTGCAGGGAGGTGCCAGCGTCTGCCCCCTGGTGGGTGAGGCTGGTGGAGAGGCTTGTGCAGGGTTCCTGCAGGGAGGGGCTGGTGTCTGCCCCCTGCTGAGTGGAGCCAGGTCTGGGCCTTCTGGTGGGCAGGGCTGTGTCAAAAGGTGGCTGTGGGCTCAGGAAGTCTGGGAAACCTGTGTGCTGATGGGTGGGCCTGTGTTCCCAACCTGTTGGTTGTCTGGCCTGGGGATTTCTAGTAGCAGGGTGAGATCAGGTCTCAGTGCCAAGGACCCAAGATACCTGCCTGTAGCGAGTTCACACCACCAGATTTTATGACCCCAGAGAGAGCCACAACTTCCCCCACCTCCCCAGGAGATCCTCCAAGACCAGCAGGTAGGTCTGGCCCAGGCTCCTATGGAGTCACTGGTTTTGCCCTGGGTCCTGGTGTGTGACATCTTGTGTGCATCCTCCAAGAGTGGAGTCTTTCCCTCAGTCCTGTGGAGCTCCTACAATCAAGCCCCACTGACCTTGAAAGCCAAATGATCTGGAGGTTCTTCCTCCTAATGCCAGACCCCCATGCTGGGGAGACTGGCATAGGGCTCAGAGCTCTCGCTCCTGTAGGAGGACTTCTCCAATATAATTACTCTCCAGTTTGTGACGTGCTCACCTGGGTGAGATGGGATTTGACTATATTGTGAGCGCACACCTTCTACTGTCTCGTGATTTCTCCTAATTTAGGTCTTTGGGTGTATAATTTTTTTTTTTTTAGTAGAATCCAGTCTTTTTTTTAATCAATAGTTGTTCAGCAGTTAGTCGTGATTTTTGGTGTGCTCCTGAGAGGAGGTGAGTTCAAGGTCATTCTACTTTACCAACTTGTCTCCCTTCCAGTGGCTCATCGATTTTAATTATCCACATGCCCATCCTTTCATTTCCATTAGTAGTCAAGATTTAACCGATAAACTAACTTCTGAAAACAGACTCTTCTAATACCAGAAATCACCAGTATCACTGGCAAAGCCCACTAGGGTCCCCAGGAAAAATAAGATGGAATCTAGGTGATAAGGTCTACCCTCTTCTTTTGTGATTCGTGGTTTCACTTGTGTGCAGAGGGCCCAGTGCAGTGTATTGCACTTAACACATTGGATTCACATTCTCAGCACAGAACCACTGAGCCAGACACTTGCCAGCCATGTGCAGAAGCCGGCTTTTGTGCTCATAACCATAGTCTGGATGCAAGATTTGGAATTTTCTGGAAAAAATAAGCAACTGAGCAGAGTTAGGGATGAAGTCTCTAACGCCAGCAATTAGAGACCAGTGGGAAAGTTGATGGCTCAGTGGAGGCAAATGAAGAGGTGAGCACTTGTGGGAACCAGGGTGGACGGTCCACTTCAAGGGCCAGCAGTGAGGAGGGATGCACAGGGGGAACAAGAGAGCCTGGATGAGGCGCAGCATTAGCATGCTTTAGGCTCCACAGACACACGTGGATGCCTGGAGAGGGAGCAAGGACCCCTCCCTTCCACAGGGGACTTTGGAATCTGTAGACCCTGGGCTCTCATGCTCGGGCATGGTGGGTGGTCAGGCAGCTCTGGGGCCTGCTCCCTCCCCTTGATGTGCAGAGGTGGGCACCCTCCAGTCCTTCCCAGTCACAAGGTGAACAGCCAATCCACAGGACCTTAAGGGGAGAACTAACATTTGTGGGTCCTGTAGTGAGTTAAATGGCGGCTCCCCAAAAAGTATGTCCACGACCTAATCTCTGCAACTGTGTATTGACCTTAGGTGGAAAAAGGTCTCTGAAAATCCTTTAAGTGAAATATCTTGAGATCAACATTGATTACCTAAATCCAGTAACTAGCATCCTTATAAGAGACACAGAGAGTCGGTGGAGAAGGCCACAGAGAGTCGGTGGAGAAGGCCACAAAGAGACAGGGGCAGGATGGAGGCGTATAGCCACAGCCAAGGAACGCTGCAGCCTCCACCAGCTGGGAGAGGCAGCGAGGGACCCCAGAACTTCTATGGGAGTGGGCCCCGCTGACAGGAAGAAGGGCCCCAGACTCCAGTGCTGGCCCCCACCCACCTCTCCCATCACCTCCTGCCACTCCCTTCCCAGGGCCTGAAAGTACACCTTCTCAGAGGCTGGACAGGTCAGCTGCTGGAGGCCTAGCAAGCATCCAGTCTAGGAGCCTGCAGCTCTCCTGAGCAACCAGGCCGGCCAAACAGTGACCTGGGTTGCGGGGGAGAGGGGGCCTGCATGCAGATAGCTGCTAGAGTCCACACCTTGAATCAAGTGCAAGCCCAACCCCTTTTCTAAGGAGAGCCTTTTATTCCCTCCCCTCTCGCCTGCAACTGCAGGGACATCTGTCTTTACTGCCCTCACACTCCCAGTGCCTGGTGAGGAGCCTGCTTTACACCCAGCCTTTGTTGAAAGAATGAAGGAACAAAAGCTACAGTCCTATGGATAGCCTCTGCCCCAGCACCCAAAGGCTTAGGCACCAACTCCCTCATTCCTGCTTCTACAGCCCCAGGACGAACCTCCAAAGGGTAGGCTTTGCCTTGTCTGATGACTAAGGAACCTCCTAGAAGCTGGCATCTCTATCCCCTGAGCCAGCTCAGTGTCCAGCACGTAGTAGGTGCTCAGTAACTGAAAGGAATCAAGATTTATAAGACATTTGTAGCATCCTTGAATCTGGCCAGCCTGCCTTTCTGCATGACCACCACCCCCTATTAAAGCCTGGGCCCCAACCGTGCTGCACTCCTGGAAGCTTCCGGAAATCGCACAAAGGACGTACCTGCTGCAGAAGCGAAGCACATTCCCCCCACTGGCCCAGATACAGTGCCTTCTAGGCCACCTGCTCCAGCGCACAGACAGCCCCCAGACACGTGCTCGTAGCACAAGGATCTCTTTATTGTGACGCTCAGTGGAAAACATCTGTAAACCAGCTCACTGTAGTGGTGACAGCTGCAACCATGCTAAGGCACTTTCATTATATAAAAAAAGGGCGGGGGTGGGAGTTCTGTCCACTCCTTTGTGACAGCAACTGGGACCTGAATTCAGAGCTTTTTAGGCATATGTAGCTTTAATATATCTTCATGATTTCTTGAGAGTTTGTTTCCTTAAAAGAAAAAAAAAAATGCCTTCTTTGCCATAAGTAAGTCTAAATGCAGCATATACAAAATAGTTAGGAATACAAGGAAATTCAGCCACCAGTGTAGACCAGTGTAGGACAAGCTATTCTCTTCTAGACGTGCTTCTGAAGGAAAGGCAGTGATAAAGACTGGGAATTTTATCACTTATTACAGTGAGAGGGAGAAAAGACAACAATGTTTTCTTTTTCTTTTAAAAATGTCTGTGCAGACGGCAGCGTCTTGAGTTATACTGAGTCAACGGTGCTGATCAACTACCCTCGGGCCCCAGTCCTGGCCCTTTCCACTGCTCTGGCTGTCAGACTCGGGACAAGTCCCTTAACCATTAAATATATTTGGTCCCCAAGAGTGTTGGGAGAGGCCACTGCTGGCCTTTCCAGCCTGGCCCCTAGGCCCTGCCTGCTCGGCCAAACAGCCCCGCTGCGGCAGGGATGGCTTGCCCTGGGCCAAGGAGGGGAAGGGGTCATCATTGCACTTGAGACATTAGAGAAGCAGGAAGGGGACAGTGGCGCTGCCCAGCGGGGTGGGGAGGAAGGCCCTTCGCTCCCCGCCCCTGGCATCCTGTGCCCTGCACAGAGGTGGACCCCCTGGGTCCGCTCATGTTGGACCACCCAGAGTCCACGGGAGCAGGGGGCCGGTGGGGCAGAGGGTGTGAGGTCACCGAGTGTGATTGCCAACAGCAAAGGAGAGAGGGGAGAGCTGGTGGCGGAGGCGGCAGGAGGTGACAACTCTTCTGGGGCGCTGGGCTAGCGAAACTCCTTAGTCTGAAGAAAAATAGATTCATAGAAAACTCTCTTGCCCGTCCCCGGAGACCTGCTCCTACCCTCCTCGCCTTACCATCTTGTGCTCTGTGGCGAGAGGGCGGGAGATCCGGCTGGTCGCTCTGTCCCTGGGCACGGGCCCAGGACCCTGACTCTTTGGTATCAGATTCGGGGTGGGGGTGGGAGGGAAACAGGGGGGGCCACAGCAGAGGAAGCCGAACGCCCTCAGGGAGGCCTGGGGGACGGGCAGGGTGGTGAGGTGGGCCTGAGGTCCCCGGCCTGGGGGGACGAGGTGGGGTCACAGTCACAGCAGTCCCGAGAGGGAGGAGGGGGTGCTGTGGGGGCTGGGAGGGGAGGAGGAGTCGCTGATGTCCGTCTCCGGGCAGCAGAAGAAGAGCCGGTTACTCGGCAGCTCTGGCCTCGGCAGCTTTGGCCTCAGCCCCATCGGCTTTGCCATCCACCTCATCGTCTGAGCAGTCGCTGGCACCTTTCCGGGCCATTCGGCGGGGCACAACGAACGGCAGGTCCCCACGCCTGGGGGCAGAGGCAGCGGTTAGCAGGGCCGGCCTGGCGGCCACAGCACAACCCCTATTGCAAAGCAACCTCAGAGGAAGACTAGCTCCTGACAGCCCATGGGGAGAAGCAATGGGGCGCCTCGGGGGCGGGGCAGGAGGGCTCACCATAAGGGGGTGACTGAAGCTTCCTGCTTTCAGCCCAAACACCAGCAAAAAACTGTCAGGTAGTAAAGGCTGATTAAAAGGAGGCACAGTTGCAAAGAATCCACCTGCCAATGCAGGAAATATGGGAGACATGGGTTCAATCCCTGGATAGGGAAAATCCCCTGGAAAAGGAAATGGCAACCCACTCCAGCATTCTTGCCTGGAGAATCCCACGGACAGAGGAGCCTGGTGGGCTACAGTCCATGGGGTCACAAAGAGTCGGGCACGACTGAGCAACTAAACAACAGAAGGAGGCACAAGCGCAGATGGAGCCACCTCTGCAAACCACCACCTCTGGTCACACTTGGTACCAAACAGGGGAGACCAGGAGCCACAGGCCGACGGTGCAGTGTACACAGACAGGCATCTCCTCCAGCCCCGGATAGGAGAACCAGCAACATACACACTGACTAGACTGTTACTTTTATGCTTTAAAAAAAAAGGATCACTGGGAAAAGGAGGTCAGCAATGAGAATCTCGACTAAAAAGGCCCTCTGCCTCAACCATTTCATGCTGCCTGATCAGGACACTCCTTTGAGAAATGCCAAGCAGCCCTCTCCACCTGATCAGGGTTGGAAGATTGACCTGAGCTGTGCCAGGGACTAGCTGGGTGGCCTTGAGCAACTTCTACTTCACAAAACCTGAGAACGTTCTCATTGAGTTTAAGGACTGTGATAGGAGCAGACTTTTCAGACAGGATGGGAATCAATCACCCAGAGAGATTATTTAAAAGGCTGGGCTGCAGCCTAGGAAGCTGGAGAACCAGGAAGGGCTCTCTGAAAAGCACCTTTCTGGCATCAGAAAGTGCCCTGCCCACTGACAGGGCTGAGAAAGGGGACTGAGTTTACAAGAGCCTCATGGTCAGAATTCTGCTTTTCAGGACAAAGGAACTTTTTGGAGGAGAAAGGGTCAAACAGCAGGGCGGGTGTAGGTGAGGGGGTGGGGCGGGGAGGGGGGCGGTTGGCGGGACTCACCTGAGCTTGTTCTTGAGGGAGCTGACCTCGCGGTTCATGGCATCTGCTGTCTCAGTGGCATCCTCCAGCTCGCGCTGCAGTTTCCGGCGAGAAGCATTGGCCCGCTGGGCCTCCTCCTCCGCCTCCTCCAGCTGCCGCTTGAGCTGCTTCAGGCGGGTGGAGGCCTTGTCCGCCTGGGGAGATGCAAGGCCAGGGGCCCAGGTCAGGATTCCACATACCGGTGGCATATCCCGCTGTTAGCTGCCTCGGGGCAGGGCCCTGCTCCACCCCAGCTCACCTGGTCCTTGTACTGCTCGGCGTTTCTCCGCTCGTCATCCACCTGCAGCAGCACATCCTTCAGCTTCTTCTCGGCCCGACGCACCTGCTTGCAGGCTGCCTGGCGCTCCCTGCGAGGCACGAATACAGTGACTCAGGGGGACCCGCTCTTTTGGAGGGTCTGGTGGACAAATCCACAAACTGGGCCACCCATGTCTGGGTCTCACTGGCCTGGCCCCTGTAGGGAGGCCCCAATCATTGCTCTTATTAAGGCATTAGAATTAGCCCCATTTCACAGATGAGGAGGAAACTGAGGTTCAAGGGAGTGACACATCTCAGAGAGCATATATAAAGCTAGAAAAAAAGAATGACGCCCATGATGACCCGGGTTCAATCCCTGGGTTGGGAAGGTCCCTTGGAGAAGGGAATGGCAACCCACTCCAATATTCTTGCCTGGAGAATCCCAGGGACAGAAGAGCCTGGTGGGCTACAATCCATGGGGTCACAAAGAGCCGGACACGACTGAGCGACTTTCACTTCCCCCCTAAAGAAGTCTGTCTTGCTGAGCCCATAGGTAGGCTGCCTAGGGAGTGGGAACCACCACCTCTCTCTGATTCAGCCCTGAGAGAGTCATCAGGCCCAACTTTAGAAGTGGGCTGTGGGCTCCTCTTCAAACTCCAAAGCCCTAGCAAAAGGCCCCAGGGAAAAAGATGAGAGCCCCGTTAGGACGGGGGGAAACAGCATCAGGGACGGACACACAGAGGGCCCACAGATGGTGCTGGGTGGGGGGCGAGGGGCACCCACTTGGTCTCGTTGTCCAGCTGCTCCTCCAGCTGTGCAATCTTGGCCTCCAGGGCAGCGATGGAGGCCTTGTACTTGGACTTGACGGTGCCCTCCATCTCCTGCAGCTTGACCTTGAGCTCCTTGTTCTGGCGCTCCAGCTGCTGCCTCGCGTTCTCGTTCTTCTGGGTGTGGCTGCGCTCCAGGTTCAGGTCGGTGTTGAGCTGGTCGATCTGTGGGAAGAAGGGCTGGAGAGCTCAAGGAAGGCGGGGACCCTTGTCACCAGACCCTCCTGGAAGAGGGAGCTGCCCAGTGGGAAGGGTTCAGAAGCATCGAATGGCTTCTGCTGCGGGGCCCGTGTGGAGTGAGGCCCGGCCGCCCACCTGCAGGTTCGCCTTCTTCAGCCTGTCGTTCACCAGCTCCGTGTTGCCCTGCTCCTCCTCCAGCTCCTCCTCCAGCTGTGCAATGCGGGCCTCCAGCCGCCGCTTCTCCTCCAACGCCAGGGCACTGGGGAGGGTGGAGAAAGGGAAGAGCGGCTGAGCTGGAGCAGGGAGCCCCCACACCCGCCACCTGCCCCCGTGGAACACGCCACGCTTGCCCCGCCTCACCCCTTGCCGCTGCTGTTGGCTATCTCGTCGGCCAGCTCGTCCCGTTCCTGCTGGGCTTGGCGCTTGGCGCGCTCGGCGGCTGCCAGCTCCTGCCGTGGGAACCCGTAACGTGACCCACGGGGGCCCCCACAGCCGCCAACCCCCCCTCTCCGTTCCCAGTACTCTGAACCCCTGGCCTCCTCTTCTCAAACCCCTTTCCCAGGCCTGCCTCCTCCATGATGCCCATTCTCATGAGTCCCTCTGAGGTCACAGCTTAGGCAACATATGTTTACATAGCCCCCATATCTAAGGCTAAAAACTAAGCCAGAGGTGTTGTAGTAAATAAGAAATCACCCTGGCCTGATGGAACGCTGGTCCCTCTGCTTTCCAACGAGACAGGAAGCAGGGGCAACAGGACAGAGACGTGAGTTAAGGCCAGGGTGCCAGGGCTCTGAAAGCCAGAAGGGGAGAGGGCTTCACCCTGAGGCTGAGGCGGCCTCGCCAGAAACCCACACGAGCAGGAGGGTGCTACCTGCTGGCTACCTGGCCCAGCATCCTCTCTGCAGAAGACGGCCTAGAGCCTGGGGAATGCTTTCACAACCAGCCTCGCATGAGGCAAGAGGCTGCCAGGGGACGTTCAGAGCAGGAAGCCTCTGGGAGGGCCCCCTGCTCGCCAGGGGCCAAGTCACAGTAGGCAGCGGTGGTACCACAGAGCCCCCTCTTGTGCAAGGGAGTCGGCCCCAAATGGTGACAGTTTAATTAACACACAATTTAATCCCACCAGGGAGCCTTCCAACTTAATGCAACCTTGCAGGGCAACCTTTCAGAAAACAAGAACCAGCCCTGCCCACGCCTGGAGCTTGGCCCAGGCCTTGCCGGTGACCCGGGCTGGTGCGTGGAGGCTCTGGGCTGCCCCCTGCTGGTCAGAGGGCGCACTGCACCCGTCCCACCTCCTGCAGCTGGATCATCTCGGCCTCCATGCCCTTCAGCTTCTTCTCGTTCTCCTTGGCCTGCGCCAGGATCTCCTCGCGGGAGGCGCGCGTGTCGTCCAGCTCCCGCATGTAGTCCTTCATCTGGGCCTGGGGGCGGGGAGGAGAGGCTTGGCACCACCCCACACACACCAGAGGACACCATACCCACGGGGACCGGGGGCTGGTTCTCGGCCTGCGCCCATGTTCAGCTCACAGTTATCACAGGGCAGGATGAAGACAAAGCGTCTCTGTCCTACACCACTGACAGTCTTCTGATCGTTAGGATTTACAAAGGACACCTGTGGCAGCGTCAGGCCCTGGGTGTGTGCTAGTCCAGCTGCATTTCTGTTTACTTTCTCCACTTCTGGTTGACTTGGATCCCAAGCTCCAGGTCAAGGGCTACCTGCCAGGTTAGCCCCAACCACGAGACATAAGCCTATGTCCTTTGTTCTCCTGTGATTCATTTTAACTCTAAAGATCTTGGGAAATACTCCCCCCCCCCCACCTTTTCTTTTGTAAGTAAATCCCAAACTGGGATTCCCCAGGCCCAAGGGTACAAGCCTTGTTGTGCGTGGCCAGGTGGTACCAGCTAAACCACCACCATCAATGCATCTACAGCCCACGACCTTGCCAGCACCAGATGTTGACATGTGTTATTGTTGCTGGTTTGCGGGGTATAATGAGGCATCTCAGAGCTGGTTGTTTTTTTTTTTAACTTGTTATTTTTAATTATTGACAAGGCCAAGCAGGTGTTCTGTTTCTGGACTGCTGCACTGATTCATCAGCTTGGAACCTTCTGTCACTGTCCATTAAGGCTGGACTGAGTCATGTCTGGCTTATTCCAGAAAACTGCCACTAAGTGACTAAGTGACTATAACGCCATTGCACTTTTAGCTTCACATTTGTTTCTCTGTTTAATGTGAAGTCAACAATTTTTGACTACTGCAAGTTTGCTTCTGACTATAATATTCTGTCTCCACTCAGCCTCTGGGTCTCCATCTGTGTAGTAGTAGTAGTGTTAGCCTCTCAGTCGTGTCCGACTCTTTGTGACCCCATGGACTGTAGCCCGCCAGGCTCCTCTGTCCATGGAATTCTCCAGGCAAAAACACTGGAGTGGGTAGCCATTCCCTTCTCCAGGGGATCTTTCCCACCCAGGGATCGAACACAGGTCTCCCACCTTGCAGGCAGATTCACTGCACCACATCCAAGACCTTCAAGGTGGCACCTCCCAGCACTCACAGGCCAGCCCAGCAGCGTCCAGCCCCGTGCTGGGCCCAACGCTGCCGCGTGCGGCTGGATCAGATCAGCCTGAGCTCACCTGCAGCTTCCGCAGCTGCTTGATGGCTTCATCCCGGTTCTTGTTGGCCGAGTCGATGTGGGCCTCCAGGTCCTTCAAGTCCATCTCCAGCTTCTTCCGAGCGGCCACAGCTATCGAGCGCTGCTTCCTCTCATCCTCCAACTCAGCCTCCATCTCCCGAACCTGGGGAGGTGCTGACAGCTCAGGGGGCCGGATGGACCCAAAGATACCACCTCAGCTCAGGGCCCAGGTGGGCTTGGTCTAGTCCCAGGGAGTCCACAGGGCCTCCAGGGAAAGTGAGGATTACTGACCATAAAACCCTGGTAGAGGGGGGTCACCAACCTCCAGGCAGAGAACGAGGACTCGAGGATGTGGAGGACACTCCCACAGACCAGTGGAAGGAGAAAGAAGCCCACAAACTCTGGGGCACTCCTGCCCGCTTCTGCCCAGGGAGTGGGCAGGCCCTCCGTACCTGTTTGACCAGCTGCTTTTTCTTCTCCTCACTCTGCTCGTCACGGCCCTGCAGGTCCCGCTCGAACTGGGCCTTCATGGCCTGCAGGTTGACCTCCAGCCGCAGCTTGGCGTCCTCGGTGGCCTGCAGCTCGTCCTCCAGCTCCTCGAGCTGCGTCTTCATCTCCTCCACCTGCTGCTCCAGGGCCCGCTTGGACTTCTCCAGCTCATGGACCTGTCACCAGGGGCCCCAGTCAGGACCAGAGGAGTGTGAAGCCCCCAGGTCCCCGGCTCCAGTGTCTGTGAGGCCCTAACTCTTAGTGTTCAGAGGCCGCCCCCAACCCCGAGAGCCGGCTGCAGGCTCTGGGACTCACGCTCTTGCCCACGTCATCCTTGGAGCTCATGAGGTCTTCCATCTCGGCGCGGAACTGCTTGTTGAGCCGCTCCAGTTCTGCCTTCTGCTCCATGGCCTCCTCCAGAGCCCGGGCCAGAGACAGTGCCTTGGTCTCCTTCTCCCGGGCCTCTGCCTCCGCCCGATCACGCTCCTCTGCATACTTGGCAGAGATGGTCTTTTCCTCGGCCAGCAGCTGGGGGGACAGGCGGGCACCATGAGTGTGAGCAACGGGCTCTCGGAAAGGGTCAGAGCCTGACAGACAACAGACTCTGCCCGAGGCAGGGCGTCTGCAGATGGACAGGAGGATGGACGGATGCGCTGACGGCACCCACCTGGTCGAACTTCTTCTGCTTCTTCTCCAGGTTGGAGACGCTCTGCCGCTGGTGGTCGAGATCCACGAGCAGGTCGTCCAGTTCCTGCTGCAGCCGCGTCTTGGTCTTCTCCAGCTTGTCGTAGGCAGCCACCTTCTCCTCATAGCGCTGGCTCAGCCCCTCCAGGTCCTTCTGCAGCTTCCTCTTGGCCTCCTCAGCCGTCTCCAGGCACCCCACGCTGTCATCCATCTTCTTCCTCATGTCAGTGACCTGGGTGGGAGCAAGGAGTAAGGAGGACCCAGTTGGCACCTGCTCCGGGAGCTGGGCTGCCACTGCGAGCAGAGTTATGGGGTGCCAACTAAGTTATGGAAACAGCTTCCCAGCCACTTCTCTATTCCTCTGGGACCAGGGAAATGGGACGTCCCGCAGAGTGCAGGTGTCTAGCACACAGAGTCCAAGGCAGGTAGACATCGCAGGTCAGCTTGGAAAGGCCACCCAACCCTGACCTGACCAGTCACTTGTACCAAGACTGAGGCCCAGAGTAGGGAGCCTCCACCCCTCCCCTCTCCCAGGCAGTAGCCTGGCATCCCCCGCCCACAGGGGTCCATCCTGCAGCCCCCTCCTCCAACCTGGACACACAGCTGCCACCGCAGAAACCTGCTCCCTGTCCCCACCCAGGTGTGGACCCAACTCCACGCCCTCCCCTGAGCTGGTGCAGATCTTCAGCACATTTAAGTCCTAAGACAGAATCCCCAAAAGGGCTCTCTGTCTATCTTTGGCCCCAGATCTTTCAGGGTCTAGAAAAGACCATGGCCTCCTTTCCCTGAGGATGTTTTAACAAGTATAAAGCGAAACATGTAGGACTACCAAGAAACCACTATAATAGAGAACAGTTGTCAGGTATTTTTTCAAGACTGTGGTTCAGTAACCAGTGTGCTTCTTCAGCACAGCAGAGAGCAGGCTCTTGAGTAGCGAGGAGCACAGTGACCTTCCCAAAGCCTGGCCTCAGCTCAGACACAATGACCAGTGGTTTCCACTGAACAGGCCACAGGCACTGCTACCATCACGGCTTATTGCCTACATTCATAAGGGAACAGAATGCTGAGGGTCAGCTGGAGACTGGTGAAATGAAGATGAATTCCAGCCAAGTTCATGGATCCCTGAATTCTCCTCGGGGACCCCAGGGGTAAGCCCTGTTCTGGGGAGGGCAGGAGCTCTCCGAGGGAGGGCAGCCAGCTCGGGGAGGCCTGGCTGTGCTTCCAGGTCCAGGTGGCTACCCAGCCAGAAGCTCCCAAGCCCGCAGGCTCCGACCACCATTTCCGGGGTGATCTGAGGGGAGCCAGCTCCAAACCTGGGCATGGAGGGTGGAGATCTGCTTCTCCAGGTTCCGCTTGGCCTCCTCCTCCTCCTCCAGCTGCTCCTTGAGAGAGTTCTTCTCATCCTCCACCTGCTTTAGCTTGGTGCTCAGACTCAGCTTCTGCCGGTTCTCCTCCTGCAGCAGCTCCTGCTCAGCGGACAAGGGGGGCCAGGGCTCAGGACCCACACTGTCGGGGCCTTGTGGTCCCCATGATCTCAGTGGGAGAGGAGCAGACCCCAGATTCAGGGGGCAGCTGGCAAAGATCTGGAGGGGAGTCAGGAGGTCCCAGAGAGCCTGGGGAGGACACTGTGAGGAAGACCCAGAGGCCTGGCAGCTAACGCCGTGTGGGCACAGGGTCCTCCCAGGATAGGAACAGCTGCGGGGGGCCCATCACTGCCCTTACCTGCGTGTCCTGCAGCTGTGACTCCAGAGCAGAGAAGTCCTTGGTGAGCTTGCTAGACTTGCTGTCCGACTGGGTGAGAAGACCCGTCACATTGTCCAGCTCGACCTGTGCGTGGACAGGAGAAAAAGCCCTGTGAGCTTGACCAGGATTGCTCGGGGCCCACCTCGGCTCTCTCAGACATGCAGGACCTGAGCCACAGGCTGAACCCAGGGGGGCTCACAGATGAGCCAGATCGTGGAGAGAGAGAGAGAGAAGAGCAGGGGCCCTGGCAGCAGGGGCCAGGACCCAGGCAGTCCGGTGGGGGCCTCACCTGCAGCTTGGAGACCTTGTCGGCGAGCTCCGTGCGCACGCGCTCCCCCTCGGTGAACTTGACCTGCAGCTCCTGCAGCTGGGCCTCCACCTTCTTGCGCTTGTGCTCCGTGTCCGCTTTGCCCTGTTGCAGCACCTTCACCTCGTTGGCCAGCTCCCCTCGCTCATTCTCCAGGGTCTGCTTGGCCTTCTCGAGGTTGGCTTTCACCTGCGGGGGCAGAAAGCAAAGACATGAAAGGGGGAGCCTGGGACGTGAGGCTGGTTTTCTCAATATCAACAAAGCCGGTGGAGCCAGTCCCAGAATCTGCTGCCCTGCAGCAAAAGTGACACCGGGCAAGTTCAGGGGGCAGCGAGCTGGCGAGGGCCATGGACTTGGAGGGCTCAGGCCTGATGTGGACTCATCACCCAGCTGGCACAGGACGCCTGGCACGTGGCCTCCCCTCTGAGGACCACGGCTCCCCTGGCTCTCAAACCATCCCTGCCTGGCCTCCCACACAGGGCGCATGGAATGTCCAAGGGCAAGACATCGTCATTGCTGATGTTAAGATTTTAGCATTATTATTATAGGCTGAGGGAAATTATAACTGTCCATAGTTAGACTTCCAGGAAAGCCTCTTAGAAATTTGATGTTCACCATAACACTGAAATGTTCTTCCAAAAAATATAAAAGCCAAGTTTACAGAACAAACACAATCCCAATCTATTCTATATCAAGTCAGTCACAATATCGAAGACAAGTTCAAGGGTAAACCTACCCCGAGTGCACACAAAAGCTCTTTGGGTGAAAAATGCTAGAGGAAAAGGCAAGGCTTCAATCTGCCCAGAACCAGAAGGAAGTCAAAGGGAAACAGAGGGACAGGCATGTTTCTGAAAATATTGTACAAGCTGCCACGCAGAAGAGCCTCTGTCCTCTGGGGCTGCCAACAAGGGTGGCCGTGAGCTGGAAACCGCAGGAGGCAGGACTGGTCTTGCTCAGGAACTGCCTGGTCACAGTCCCCAGGCTGAGAAACCAGCCGGGTTAACATCCCCAGGGTTCTCCCCGAAGATCCCAGCTGACCATGTGTTGGAGGTGTTCTAGAGAAGGGCCGGGCTTCAGAAAAGGGACCCAATGGCCCTCTTAAACTTCAGTTTCAGAGTCACTCCAATTCCATGAAACGTTCTGGTCTGGCAGGTTGTTGAACAGGATAATAATGGTGATAATAAGACTAGAACAACTCACTGAGCCCTTACTGACTATGCACTGTCACAAGTTACCAACTCCAACTCTCACGTAATTGTATGAAATAGACTCTCACTAGCCTCCCTCACAGAAGAGGACACTGAAGCAGATGGACCTGTATGCTCCCCCGAAGTCACGTCAGGAAGGGCTGGAGCCTGGACTACGTGAGGGTCCCCCAGCCCTGCCCCAGGCCCACGGTGGCCAAGACTCTCGGAGCCAGTCCTGTGTTGGGGGGGGGCGGGGGGCACGCACCCGCTTCGTCTGCTCCAGTTGCTCAGCCAGCTCCTCCACGGCCTGTGAGTGCTTCTGCCTCATGTCCTGGATCTGGGCCTCATGGGTCCTGGCCTCCTCCTCAAGGGTCTTCTTCAGGATGTTCACTTCTTGTTCACGTTTGGACCTGAACAGAGAAACGCCTTCAGAAGGGAGGCCAGGGCCCAAGAGCAACGCTGCCCTGGTGGCACAGCCTGGTGGGGAGCACTGGCCGCCCCAGGCAGCCTTCTGCCTGCTGGCTTCCCTCCTCAGCTGTCCATCCTATAGCGCAGGCTCACAGACACACTTTTTTTCCTCTCCTTTAAAAAAAAGTAACATAGGCCTTTTAGCCAAGGAACTGGGTTTTATTCTAAATATGGGGAGCCAGAAATAATTTGTAAGATTTTTATTTTTTTGGCTGTACCACAAAGCATTCTGGATCTTAGTTCCCCTACCAGGGATTGAACCCATGCCCCCCTACAGAGGAAGCACCGAGCCCTAACCACTAGAGAGCCAGGAAGTCCCCACAGACATGCCTTGTAGGGACTTCTGTAGCCTTTCAGCCTTAAAGCCCACCCTTGCCTCAGCCCAACTCCAAGCCAGGTTCTTCAACCCTAGGGAGAAGCTGCTGAGGCACTATCAGCTTCCATCTGTTCTTGTTCAGTCACTAAGTCGTGTCTGACTCTGCAACTCCATGGACTATGTCACACCAGGCCTCCCTGTCCCTCACTATCTCCTGGAGCTTCCAAGCTCCATGACAACAGGCCACACTGTGTGTGTGCAGAGGCCTGGGGTCCCCCCTCCGAGGCCAGAGCCTCCGTTTCCCTGCAGCACCACCCCCTCCTCAGTGACCAGGCAGTCAGCCGCCAGGCACACCTGAGCTCCTGCTGCGCGGCCGTGGAATCCAGAGTGTCCTCCAGCTCCGTTTTCAGAGCCTCCAGCTCTTCCCCGAGGTCTCGTTTCTGCTTCTCGGCTTTATTCCTAGCAGCACGCTCAGACTCCAGGTCTTCTTGGAGCTCCGAAATCTGAGATTCCAGCTCCCGGATCTTCTTCAGGGCCATGTTCTTCTGGGTGGTTTCTTCCTCCACTCTGCCAAAGAGAGCGCCAACGTCAGGATGAGGTCGCTGTCACCTTCAGAGAGCAGAGTCTGCAGAAAAGGCTTAGAGAGGTGCGGCCGAAGCCACTCCTGGTGGTGACAACCATAGCCCCTTAGGGGGTCTTCTTGGCAGACACTGAGGCGTCCAGAAGACTTAAGGGCTGTTCCACTTGGAGAACTCAAAAACCTCATAGAGGAAGAATTCCTTTTTCCAAATTAAGCTTCAGTGCTTTAAACATTTTTTAAAAATTGAAATGTTAAATTAAAAAAAAAAAAGGAAATAAAATGCTACAGTCCATGATTACAACAACAAAGTAGAAACACAAAGGTGCTCTGGACTTAGGGTGATTAAGGAACTTCACAGCAGATTCATGAGTTGTAACAAATGTATCACTCTTGTGGGGGCAGTTGCTAATGGCGGGTTCTTGGGAAATCACTACCACTTTTGCTCAATTTTCTTATGAACTTAAAAATACACCCCCAAATAAAATCTACTTTTAAAAAGCATACTTGTAGCCATGAAATTTTATAAAAGAAAGAACTGCTGTGATTGGATGACTAGGATTGTAGATGACTTCTGGGAGGGATTACAGATGACAAAGAAGCCCAGACTGCACTTTCAGTGAACAGGAAACGCTTTGCTGTAAACTAGCTTCCCAGACAACAGTGGAGCGCATGCCCACAGTTCACTGATGCACCAAGAACCGCAGAAGGAAGTCTGCTGAGAATGCAGGCACTAACCATCTGGCCTGACACTCTGACCCTCACCTGGCCAGGGCGGCCTGGAGCTCCTCCTCCTTCTTGGCCAGCTGCATCTTGAGCTCTGCGATCTGAGCCTGCAGCTCGGCAATCTGGTCGTTGAGGTCGGTGGAGTCTCCTTCCAGCTTCCGGCGGGTCTTCTCCAGCTCCTGGCGCTGCTTCTCCTCTCTTCGCAGGCGTTCTGAGAAGCAAGAGTGGAGAGATGCCAACAGAGTCCTCAGTGGCTTCTCTCTGTCTTCAAATCTTACATAAAATACCAGGCTTCACAGGGAGCGGCTGCCGTGTCTCAGGTCTGGAGGGCAGTGGCTGGATGCCACAGGCCCCAGGAGACCTGCTCGCCACCCCAGCTCCTGGCAGCAAGGCCCATGCTGGTCCTCGAGTGGTGGGTGGCCCAGCAACCCCAAGTCCAACAGTCCCTGTGCCCCGCCTTTACCCTCCAGGTCGGTGATCATCGCCTCATGCTTGTTCTTGAGTTTGGCGAGGCTCTTCGATTTCTCCTCCTCTTCCATGAGGTTGGTGGTGAACTCGGCTATTCTGTCTTCCAGCAGCTTCTTCTCCTGGGGGGCGAGGTTGGGTCAGAGCTGGAAGTTAGTTGAATGCAGAAGGCACTGGGTCTCCTCAAGCACAACTCTCCCAGACACTGAGGTCTGGATGGAGGGGTAGGACCTTAAACACCTGGTCAAGTGCATGAGGATTTCCCAGATCAAAGGGGTCATTGTGAAAGTCACTAGCTCCTCTGAAACAGCTGGGTAAGCTTCCTTGGGACCCATAAACAGGGTGTCCAAGCCCTTTCCTTGGTCTGCATTATCCCTTTCTGCTCAGGTAAAAAGACCTTCCAGGTGATGGTGAGTGTCAGTGAGAGAATTTGGGGGAGGAAGGCGCTACCTTCTCTATGTCTGTGACCTCGCCCTTCCTCATCCCCTAAAGTGCCCCTGCTCTTCTCACTTTGTGTTTTGTGTGGCCACCACTGGAGTCCTGATTCCACAATAGCAACCACACAGCCCACTTACTCCCCACGTCGCAGGCTTCCAGACAGCCGTCCTGCCCTGCGAAGCTGGCCACCCCATCCTCCAGAGATGAAGGTCAGCATCCCAACGGTGTCTCTCCCACTCCTCTAACGTGATTCCCAGCTCTCCTCTGTGGCCCGGCAGACGCTGACAGGGGCCGGGCCACCGGCCTCACCTTGGCCAGCTTGCAATTCTGGTCCTCCATGATGATCTGGTCCTCCTCCAGCTTCTTCAGCTTGGCCTCAGTGGTCACCTTCTCCAGTTGGAGCTTCTGCCGGGCGCTCTCCTCCTCCTCCAGCTGCTCCTCCAGCTCCTGCCGTGAAGCCGGGGCGACCGTGAGCAGATGGGACGGGGCCCAGTGCCCACGTGTGGGGTCACGTATTTAAAACTGGGGTGCGGGGACGAGAACCCCAGGTCCTGGTTCCAACACAGGGTCATGTGTTCTGAGGGGCCTCCTCTAGTGAGAGTCCACCCTCCGCTCCTCAGACCAGCCGGAGTGATCACAGAGGAGGGGAATTAAATCGGATTCAATGCTCAGCGGGGCAGGGCTCATGGACACCTGACACGTGTGTCAGAAATAATGAGCCAGGGAATTCCCTGGCGATCCAGTGGTTAGAACTCGACGCTTTCGCTGCCAAGTGCCAGGGTTCAATCCCTGTTCAGGGAACTAAGATCCCACAAGCCACAGAGCATAGCAAACAAACAAACAAAATGCCTCAAAAATAACACCTCCCCAAGGCTGCCCCCAGGACAGAAACTGTGCCCCCACAGCACTTGGGATGTCCCTGCTCCCCACCCGCCCCGTCCCCCATGCCCCTCCTGGGTCCGGCCCGGCCCATCCTCTGGGCACCTGGATGTTCTGCTGCATCTTTTTCTTCTCGGCCTGCAGGTGCTGGCAGCGCTCCTCCTCCTCCTCCACCCGAGCCTCCAGGTCATGACAGATCTCTTCCAGCTCCTGCTTCTTGGCCGTCAGACGGGCACGGAGCTCCTCAGCCTCGGCACACAGTTCCGTTTCTGCCTGGAGCTGCTCCTGGAGCTGCAGCTTCTCAGCCATGAGCTGCAGGAACACGGGGGAAATGTGAGCTCTGACAGCTGCTTGCGGGCTGCCTGTCCCCATGGGAGAGCTGGTCCCCAGCGAAGGCTCCATCTCAGCATGCTTAAGCTGCCAGGCATGTCTAAACATCACATCCTGCATCGAGGAAACTACCCCCCGATTTTCCTTCAATGCCAAGTTTATGCTTTGTCTACTGGGGCTTCCCTGGTGGCTCAGTGATAAAGAATCTGCCTGCAATGCAGGAAACCTGGGTTCGATCCCTGGGTTGGGAAGATCCCCTGGAGAAGGGCATGGCAACCCACTCTGGTATTCTTGCTCAGAGAATCCCATGGACAGAGGAGCCTGGCACGCTGTAGTCCATAGGGTTGCACAGAGTCAGACACAAATGAAGCGACTAAGCAGCAGCCCCGGTGGCCAGCAGGAGGCAGCACCACGCGGGCAGTCTGCAGACACTCACCTGGGACTGGAGGGTCTCCATCTCTGAGAGCCTGTTCTCAGCAGCCAGCTGCTTCTCCCGCACCTTCACCAGCTCCTCCTCCTTGGCCATCATCTCCTCCTCCTGCCGGCTCACCTGCAGCAGCGGCTTGACCTAGGAGAGGAGGTGGAGGAGACAGCTCAGGGAAAGAGGCCCGTCCAGGCTGAGAGTTCAGGGTTTTCCCCTCCCTTGGGGAAGCGCCAGGGCACAAGAGCAAGGGGCAGGCAGGACACCAGGCAGAGCAGGTGCCCCCGGGGACAGCTTTTTAGGAAATCAATCTGATGCTGTGCGCCATAGGCCACTGACCCACTAATTACATTTCGTTAAAACTAGCCCTGTATGTGCATGAAGACATTCAGGACAGCATTGTTTACAACAGTGAAAATTTAGCAAAGAGATAAAGATCCACCGCCCGAAAAGTAGCTAGATATATTATGAAACATCTCTAGGGAACAGTATGCTGACTTTTAAAAAATTATGCTTATGAAAAAATTTTAAATGGAAAACGCAAAAAAAAAAGACTGTTTACACAAGTCAAAAAGCTCAGCTATGTAAGAAGGTATGTGGTTTACACAGCAGAGATTTAATGGGAGTGTTTAAAAAAAATGGAATAAATATTGAAACATCTATTCAATATTGATGTTGGCTCAAGGTTGAAGGGATTATAGGTGAATTTTTACTTTCTTATTTATCCTTTTTGTTGGTATAGTGTTTTGCAGTTACCACAAATTACGTACCATAAACAAAAGTAGCTTGACCGACTTTAAAATACAAGAGAATTTTTTGTAAAGGCAAGGGAGGACGGAGCCACTGGGTACAGACCGCAGTCTCCTGGGTGGACAGCACTGCTATCACATGGGGCCGTGGTGGGCAGGCGGGGCCCTGACATCCCAGAGCTGCCCTCGGAGCCGCCCCAGCCCAGCCCCACGGCACCACGGCCGTCCACGCTGGACACACGCCCCAGCTCACACCCCTCGAGACCCCTCAGGGCAGGACCATCCCCGGCTCAAGTTCTGGGCCCGGGGACACAGGGGCAAAGTGCCAGCCCGGGGCCCGAGCCCCGCAGGAGGCCGGCGTGCGGCCCGCTGGTCCCTCTGCCGCACGGAGCCCCCCCAGACCCACCTTGGTGAAGAGCCGCCACCACTGCCAGTTGCGCAGCTTGAGGTAGGCGGCGCAGTTCCTCTGCAGGACCTTCATGGCTGTCAGCTGCTGCTGCCGCTTGGCGAAGGCCCTGTGGGGCGAGGGTCTCGGTCAGCGCCTCCAGGCGGGGGCCAGCCCACCTCCCTGCCCACAGTCCTGACCTCGCTCCCGGGGGCTTTACTGGAGGGACTGACCCCTGCCGGGAGCACTTCAAAACAGATGGGGGAAGGAGGCCAGCTTGGGGTTGAGTCCTACAGGTGAGCTCACAGAGGTGACCAGGACAAGGTCACAACCACCTTTCTTCACTAAAGGGTGAATGAGGTCGCTACAGAGTCAAGTGTAACCCCTGGTCATTAAGGCCACCTGTCAACTGCAGCTCCCCACCCTCGTGCCACCCACAATCTTGGGGCTTTTGTTTGGGGGGAGAACGTCAGCAGCTCATGTCCTGCAAATGTCCATCTATCCAAACACCCACACTCATGCTCTCCCCACAATGCTCAGAACTCAGGCTGGAACAGAAGCCCCAGAGCCCAGACACAGAGAAATCAAGGGGCAAATGCGTAGCTGCCCCGCCCACTGTCCTGCACAAGTCTGCCCCTGACCCCACAGGAGCTGCTGGGACACAAGGGCACCTCCTCCCCGGAGCTCAGGGTCCTCGGAGACAGGCAACTCTGGGTGTCACCCCGACAGGAGGGACACAGGGAGGAACAGTGGGAGGCAGGGGTTTCCTTGGAGGGAAAATCTGAACACAGTCACCGCTCCCTCCTACTCACTTTAAACCTCAGGCAGAAATCCAGGAAGCAGGGGGCAGGGAAAGCCACGTGGCCTCCCCGGGGGACACCTGCTGGCATGAGGGCACCCAGGCCCCGCTTCCTCAGTGCCCTCTGCTATAGGAGAGCTGGGGGGTCCCGAGCAAGGTGTGGGCATCCCAGGACTCACTTCCTAGCCAGGTAGCCCCTGCAGCAGGCCTGGAAGCCGATGATGACGTCCGTGATCTTCAGGTCCCGCTCCTCCTCCAGGTGGGCCAGCACGCCGGCCCGGAAGAAGACCTTGCTCTGGCCGATGCGGTACAGGTTGCTGTCAAGCTCCAGGGCTTTGATCTAGAGGAGGACAGCCGACTGCTGACCACGGGGCACCCCCGCCACCATGGAGCCCTGGAGCAAGGCCAAGGCCGGGGGAGGGGCCTGGAGCCAGGATCTGCCCTGCTGCTCTGAGGGCAGCCTTCTGCTGGTGCAGGGAAAATGGGGCAGGGGAAATGCCGGGAGGGGGCAGGTGGGGGCCAGCAAGGGGCAGGTAAGGAATCAGACTTGCAGAGAAACACAGGCTCTCAGCCCTGAAGGGACCCTGTAGGTCTCCTCTTTCTTCTCTGCCCGACTCCCTCACTACAGGTGCCTGTTCTACAAGCACCCAGTCAGGTCACCCTCTTAGCAGAGGTGGTCAAGCATCACTGCTTTGTCCAAGCCCAGCACCAACTCCAGCTCAGACCAGGATCAAATGCTAACTAAGTGACCCCAGGCCTTAACCTCTGTGGGCCCACGTTTCCTGGGCTGTAAAATGGAAATAATGGTTTCTTTAATTAAAAGGTAAGTTAGCAAAGCAAATAAATAGCACTTCCTTCCTAGCAGAGCTGTGGGAATGAAACCAGAGAAGGCACAGAAGGCGCTGAGCATGGGTCACACGTGGGACCACTGCTGAATGAGCTTTAGGCAACATGTCGTTATCGTCCCAGGGCTGTTTCAGTACAATAACAAGGCTCTCTTATTAAGCCCACTGGCAAGGGTCTGTCTGTCCATCTGTCTGCCTGGGAGAGAGGGGATTTAGAACAAGCTCCAAGAGGCAGAGCCTTGAATAGGGTAAGAGGAATCTAGGGCCCTTGATGCCCAACGAAAGGCCCTGCAGGTCTGGAAGAGGCCCTGGGAGAAGGGCAGGCCAGGGAGGGCAGAGCCATGGCCGGGTGTCCCACCTCCTGTCATGACGAGCCTGGCCATCTGTCTTCCCTACAGGGCTGGATGGAGGGGACCTGCTTATGTCTAAAGGAGGGACAGCCCGCACTGGCCAGCAGCTGAGTCTCTGGGCAAACAGTGGCCCAGACATGAGCTAGGGGCGCACCTCTGTCCTTCACACCTCCCTTCCACCGGGTGACAAGCATCGCAGAGCAGGGACCGGTGTCTCCTCCCTCCTTCTCTAGGCTCCACCTCCCTGTCCCTTACAGGGCAACTCTGACCAAAGGTGGTATTGAATTATTCTTCCCTTTTCTCTTTCCTCCCCAATGCCCACCCCAGCCCATCCTCTGCTGACTCTCTGGCAAAGATGCAAAGTATAGAAAGCAAGGGGCGCTGGCTGCTGACCCCTGGACACATGAGACCCAGCTGGATGCCTGCCTGCGAAGCAGAAAATGACTGAGTGGGCAGAGCCCCAGCATGGCCACCTCGGGGCCTTCATTCACTAAGCACACTCCAGGGCCCACTGCCCGTCGAACACTGGCCAGTGGTGGGAAAGAGAGAAAACAACCAGAAACTCGGCCTCTGCTAGCTTTGGGCCGGTCTTGCGGCCCTGGCAGTGAACTGCCCCATGTGAAGATGAGAGGAGATGGGAGCAACAAAGAACCAAATGTGGCCAGAAGGAAGGGACTCTGCCTCACACCACAGCCTTGCTATCTGAGCCCTGGCCTCCTCCTCCCCACACACCATCCTGACCACCTGATGTTCAGTGCCCCTGGCAGAACCAGAACAGGCTCACTGGAGCAACAGGAGAGCACAGCATTGACAGATCCAAAGGGGCCTGATCAGGCACGTGGGCGCTGGCCCCTTGGGTGTGCATACCAGCCACCCATCACCCACCAGAAGAGCCCACTCACCATGAGCACACACGCCTGCTTCCCGTCCATGAAGCCCTTAGGAATGGAATTTGGAGTCAGGATCTCGTATCTGAGGAGGAAAAGGGCGGTAGGTCAGTACACCCCTCGCTCGGATTCTACGTGGCCTGGAATATCCGTGAGACGGGGGCCGTCCCTACAGTGGAGCAGGTGTAGGATTCTTCCCAGAGTGTCCGAGGGAAAGGGGACACTCAGTGAGTCATATCCTGCTCTTTCCTGAGGCTGGATGGCACGAGGAAGGCCTGGTGTTTTCCAGAAAGTGAATGGAAACTTGTATCAGACTGTTTTGTTCACTTATGGGTGAGCTCTGAAGTGGGCTTACTAACTGCTAACCAGCACCTGCGTCTTTAGCCCCAGAAGTTTTTGAAATTAAATGTTTAGTTTTACAAATATCATCTGATACAAATCAGAAAATGTCTCATGACCTCATGATTAGAAAGATATGTGGAGTTCAGGCATTATTAGGAAAAAAATCAAGTCATGATATGTCTAAAGCCACTGTTTCCCACTTCCAAACATGTCCTCCATATCTGTTACCAAAAAAAAAAAAATGGCATATATTGAGTACAAAGAGAAAACCATTTGCTACAGAACGTTTTCATAACACTCTCTATGTAACAGACCACAACTGGTGAACACAGCCAGGCCCGTCTCTGCTGAGATACTGCAGAGAACCACTAATCAACGGGGTGGTACAAGAAATTAACCAAAGTGCTGCAATAGACAGCAACCAGGGCTAAACACATCATTAGGTGAATAGGCTGGTGTCATGACTGTCCCCCCTCCGCACACACAGCAGACATCCAATTCCACTGACTTTTTTAATACTCAAGGCTCCAGCTGATCCTCCTTTAATGTCTTTTCAGAGCTCCTCTAATTATAGCAAACAGCACCAGTCCCCTACAGTGACTGGGAGTGGAAGCCAACAAGATAACTTTCATTTTAGCAACAAAACAGGAAGTCCTTCCTCATGTGGAGGGTGGCACAGAGGACCCCAGCTCAGTGTGGATGAGAAAGGCTCTGCACTCACCTCTGCCGGAACTCCTGGAAGACCACGCGGTTGGGGAAGCCCTGGCGGCAGATCCGGATGCCTTCAAGAACCCCGTTGCAACGCAGCTGATCCAGCACCAGATGCGGATCCAGCTTGCCGGCCTAGGGAAGAAATCCATGCATGTGCTCTTCCTGTATGCCCAGGGACTGATGGAGAGAGGGCGGGCCCCTCAGGATGCAACAGGGCAAACATCCCCCAGGAAGGAGCAGTCACTGCCTGCCCACCCATAGTATTGACAGCTCAGTTACATGATCGAGGTCTGAGAGGCAGAAACACAGGCTACATGGGCAGGCTGAACCGTAAGAGTGCCCAAACCACCCTGCAAGGTGACTGAACCAAGGGCTCTGTGTGCCACGGGTGAGGGGTTTCTACTCAGGCCCGCGCCACACTACCAAGCAGGCGCACCTTCTTCTCGTGGTTGGGTATGATGCAGCGGACGAAGTTGGGGTTGGTGTTCCTCAGCGTGGCCATGAGTTTGGCCAGCTGCTCCTTGTACAGCTGCCCCACCGTGCGGAACATGCCCTTGCGCGTCTTGAAGGCCCCAGGCATTGCCGTCTCTGACATGCCAGCCACCTGGTCCAGGCCGATGATGCGGTCCACTGGAGAGAGCAGGCAAGAGCACGTGAGTACCCGGCAGTCCGGGCCAGGGCAGAGGGGCGGGACAGACAGACAGGCCAAACTGGTCAGAAAAAGAGGAAACTACAGAATGCAGACCGTTTCTACTTGGAGCATACAAAGCAGGCTAAGGTCATCTCCAAAGGCTGAAAGCAAAGGTGACCTTGTGAGCAGGGAGGAGGGAGGAGGAAAAGGTTTGGAAGGATTGCAGAGCCTCAAAGTGGGGAAGCACATTCGTGAAGGCTGACTCCATGTTGTCACTTATTTCAGCCACCCTGGGACGCTCCTAACCCAGAGACACAAGAGCTGACAATGCATCCTGGAGGAGTGCGCTGAGCTGGTCCACTAGCCTGGCTCTGAGGAGGTGTTCAGACTTGACTGACAGGAGCCCGATAGTCCATTCAGTCATTTGAAAAAAGCAGACCAGTATCCTGAACTCACACTGACCATTACCTGAAAGCACTGGGCTAGGTCAGAAGGCAGGAGCTCTAAAGCTACTCGGCCATCACCTGCAGGAGTCTGGCCCACGCTCTCTCTGCAGCAAACCCCCCATGCAGAGCTCTCTACATCAGGGGCCTAGAGCAACATGCACGGTGCCAGGGCAGGGTTCCAGACAACCACCACTGCCCACGGCTACCCCAAAGGCCAAGGATCCTTCTCCCTCTCAGGTCTCGCTTGGTCTCAAAGATCACGGGTCTTTCTCATCTAAACCAACCCTCCACGGAAGCAGCCCTCATCACCATGGCTCCTGCCCAGAACAATGAAATGAACCTCCTCCTCCTGGGCAAAAAGCAAATGATGAACAAGCCCAACCTAAGTGGCCAGCGATCTGAGGTCAGGCTTACACCAAAGCCAGTATTAAATTTGAAGATTTCCATCGCTGGATGCAAAAGTTAAGAAATCTACAACAAAGTCAGGTTCTTGTTCCTTTGTGGCCAGATCTCTGTTATTTACCTGAAAGCAACAGAAAAGACAGCTGCTCAAGAGGGAAGCCAAGAGTGAGGATAGACCCAATGAACCCCTCGGTTAAAACGGGAGGCAACGGTACCTCTTGCAGCCCCCACAGGGCCCCTCTGGCCACCAAGGTGTCCTGGGACTGGGTGGCTTGTGAAAGTCACTCAGGTTGCCCAAGGGAAGGTTGAACATGCCCCCAAACAACTGGTCATTTCACATGAGGGGATCCTGGCCCCAAAAAACCCTGCCCAGGAGGAGAGCTAACTGCTGCAGAGACACACAGGTGCCCTTGTCAGCACTGAAGTGTCTGGGCCCACACGCGCACACGCACACACACGGCAGTGCACACAGCACCCTGTGCTGAGACACAGCAGCCATCACACACACACACACGCACGCACGCACACACACACAGCAGTGCACATAGCACCTTGTACTGAGACAGAGCAGCCATCACACACACACGTACGTACACACGCATGCACACACATGCACACACACACACAGCAGTGCACACAGCACCCTGTGCTGAGACACAGCAGCCATCACACACACACACACGCATGCACGCACACACACACACACACACACACGGCCATGCACACAGCACCCTCTGCTGAGACACAGCAGCCATCACACACACACACGCACGCTCGCACACACACGGCAGTGCACACAGCACCCTGTGCTGAGACACAGCAGCCATCACACATACACATGCACACACTCGCACACACACAGCAGTGCACACAGCACCCTGTGCTGAGACATAGCAGTCATCCAAGCGATGAGATGCCGCCTTCGCGAGGGGAGTTCTGAAGGGGACGTGGACTGTGAAACAATTATTTTTTCTCCTTTTAAGATCTATAACATGAAGCTGTCAATATCAAACCACAGCCCAGTTGTGCCTGGCTTTCTACTGGAGGCCTGTGATGGGGAGGGGACTGGAGCATAAGGGGACCTGCACATAAGCCCGGGGCAGAGACCAGGGAAGGAGCACAGGCAGGCAGGAGCAGCCAGGCAGAGCAGGCAAGCTCAGCAGAAGCACCAGTCACGCAGCCCGGGGTGCAGCACACGTTGGCGCCGCGCCAGGCGGCCAGTCACCTGGTTCTAGGTGGAGGATAGGAAAGCGCTGATAGAAATAGGCTCTCTGGGTGCTCTGCATCTCTGCAACAGAGAGGTTAAAGCAAAACCCAGGCAGAGAGAAGGAGAAACTGGCAGAAACAAGGAAAAGAACAGCTTCCAGAGGTACTGGCTACCAAGGAGATGCAAGAAGGTAGTGAGGGGTTGGATGGAACCCGGGTGGCCTGGTGCTGGGCCACTACACGACCCCCTACAAGGGAAAGGTCTGTGGCCTCAGAGCCTGGAGAAGCCCCAGAAGAAGTGGCTGTGTGCCACGTTCAAGGACACTTGGGGCTCATGCACACCAGGATTCAGGGACAGGGTGACCCTCGGGGCTGGAGGAGCCCACGCTCCTGGGAGCCAAGTGGGCACAAAACCCTCTGGCCTGAGCCCTGCCCTCAGCCAGTGGCCAGGAAGGGAAGGGGCCTAGCTGTGGGCACGGGGAGGCAGGCTGAGGGCCAAGGGCGTACCATCCTTCCACAGCTCCGAGACAAACTTGTCAGAGGACTGGTGCAGCAACGTGGCGATGTTGTCGTTCAGCGGGTCCATGTTCTTCATCAGCCACTCATCGGCTTTGTAATCCACCTGTAAGATCGGACCTTGAGTCACAGGCTGCTCAGGGCACACTGGTGCACGCAGCCTCTATGGCAGCAGGCTGACCCCATGGGCGGAAACATCAAAAACAGCGAAGACCCTCAACCTGGTATTTTCATCCCTAAGAAGGAAATAACGAGTGACCAGGGTGGAAGCATCCATGAGATGTTCTCTGCAGAGTTACATGAAGGCAAAATATTTAAACGGCACCAACGTCTGGCTGCAGGGAACAGGCTAAGAATTAAGTTGCAGCTACACAGTAGAATATTCTGTTTTTAAAAATGTTTAAGGTAATATGAATATTGGGGGGGAAATCCTAATAATTCCTTTTAGCAACAGGACAAGTAATTTTTGCTTTTTTTTTTTTCCAGGATATTCAGGTTTTCTCACAGCATATATTCTTCTCACCTTTTTTGAAATATGTTCTCAATACAAACAGAGCGACTGGCCACCACAGCCTGCTCCCTAACCAACACAGTGTAACTCAGCCATGGTTCCCACCTGGCCACTTTCTGCAGGTTTCCCCACATGCAAGGCTGTCAATGATGAGGTGCAAGATGGTGGCGTCTTTCTCCCTAGAGGGAGAATGACCTCCTGGGAGAGGACAAACCCTAGAGTTGGGTGTCTTGGCATCTGTCCCCCTGGGCACGGCCAGCATCCTTGTCCTCTGAGCTGCTGCAGTGCAGGCTGAATGAGGACGCACACAGGCAGTTTCACCGTTCAGCCCTTCATGGGGTTGCAAGTGTGCCCAGGTTTTGCATCACCTACAACAGTGCAACAAAAGCCTGCCTGCGTTTCTAACAAAGGTGGCGGGAGACACTGGCATTCAGGGGGCATGACCTTAGGTAACTAGAAAAAAAGAGATCTCCCTCACAATTAGTTTAAAATCAAGAGTGGCTTCAACAGCCTTGGGAGACAAAGGTGATAAGCAGGGGAGGCTGAACAGGGCAGGACCACGTGCAGAAGGGTGGGAGAGGACCACAGGTGGCCTGGGAGCACCATTGTTGACAGCACAAGTTTCTCATCACCGATCCTCACTGATGGGGAGGCTGAGGACCGATCAGCTCATCACACATCCAAGTTAGACATTCTGTGCGAGCAACACAACTTCCTGAGAAGAACCAGCTTTAGTCTAAGCTTGGACCTCTGCAGACTCAGGACACCCCTGTTCATGTCCAAGCCCTGGGATCAAGCCAACTGGAGGATGTCTGACAGCTGGTATGAAGACAGCTCTGCTACTTCCTGGCTGGTGATCTTGGCAGTAACAAAGCCAACAACACCTACAGGCATGGCTCTCACCCAGGGGACAATGTTACCCTCCAATCACACCCAGCAGATGTTCCAGGATGTCTGGAGACACTTCTGGTTGCCACATGTAGGAAGGGCGCTACTGACCTCTGGTGGGGAGAAGACAGGTCTGCTGCTAAATATCCTACAACAAGCAGGAGTGTCCTGACAATAAAGACCGACCTGGCCACTGAGGTGGGCAGTGTGGAAGCTGAGAGGCCCTGCCCCAGAGCACTCACTTCCCAGCACTGGGCTTTGTGAGCGCCTTTAACACACATTCCCCAGTACAGTGGTGGTCACGTCCAGTTTCCAGATGAGGCAACCAAGGCTCAGAGCGGTGAAGTAACTGCCCAAAGCCACACAGGAGCAGAGCTCTAATTCAGACTGCAGAGTCCATGACTTTAGCACAAACAGCATGTCTACACCTGGAAAACGCACTTAATAATAACACACTGCATGACACCAGGGTGTGCGCTCCTCACCTTGCCAGCGTAGTGGATGATGCAGAAATCTGCCTTGTCCTTCAGCTGCTTGGGCTTCTGGAACTTGGGGTGGGTGCCCTGCTCCTGCATCACCTTCTCCACGAAACTCTTGTCCGTGGCTTTGGGGAACCAGCACTCCTCGTCCAGCAGGGCCAGGATGCCAGGAGGGCCTGCCTGGAGGGAGCACAGCATCACGCAGGTCAGCTTGACCGGAAACCCACCAACTCTCACCCTCGTAAAGTCACAGCCTGGTTTTCACAAACTCAAGAATCTCACCAGAAGATGGACAGTGCTTTCCTCATACAAGAAAAAAATAAGGAGCATGACTGAAAGCACTCCAATTACAAGTTCTAGCTGAAAAAGAATTTCTGAGGTCTAGGCTATGTCGAACACACCTTAACCCAACGATCCATTGCAAGATTCTCCCGTGAGAACAATGGAAATCACCTGGTGGCTTGATGGGCCATGCAGACCCCTGACCCCCGTCCAGAGGATGCCCCTCAACAGGGGTCCTGGCCCCTGGAGTCCTTCTTGGACCCCACTTGACACACAGTGTGTCCACACAACTATGTGGTGAGTGGGGACATTTAGGATAGGGCTCCTGAGGAAGAGGAAGCACCCCAGAGCCCCAAAGCCTCCCAAACACTGAGTTTATAAGAGAGCAGACTCAGCCACTGTAGGACTGGTTGACAGGCCTGGGAACCAAACACCATCTTGTTTGTTGGAAAACAAAACTGATTTAAACAAAAAAACTCATCATCAAAATAAAACATTCGGTATTAGGATCACAGATGGTTCCGTCCCCAGAGGGGCAGAGCGAGAGGTGGGGCAAGGCGCAGCCATGCGGCTCTTACCGGCTTCTCGATGAGGTCGATGCAGGGCTGCAGGTCGAGACCGAAGTCGATGAAGTTCCACTCGATGCCCTCGCGCTGGTACTCCTCCTGCTCCAGGATGAACATCGTGTGGTTGAAGAGCTGCTGCAGCTTCTCGTTAGTGTAGTTGATGCAGAGCTGCTCGAAGGAGTTCAGCTGCAAGAGGGAGATGGGGTCAGACAGATCCCTGTTGCTGCCAGCGAGCCCCCAGGAAGGACCGGAGGGGTGTTTGGGCAGAATCTCCTGGGGCCCACCGTGCCGCCCTCTGTGGGCCTTCCCTCATCACACCCACAGCAGGGGCTGCATTGCTGGGGCCTGCAGACCCTGCCAGCAGTCTGGTGGAGCCTCTGTATCAGGATGATGTTTTCAAATGCACAAAATAGATCAAAAGAGAAAGAAGTTATCTTGAAATGTAATTATCAAACACGGTAATATAGAAATCCACAGTGCTTCTTAATTAACAAGCACAAGTCCAAGCCGTCGGCTTTGTAACACCTAGAATCTGAAGTAGAGGTGAATGTAAACGGTATGCATATGTGCCAAGTTGCTCAGTCATGTCTGACTCTTTGCGACCCCATGGGCTGTAGCCCACCAGGTTCCACTGTCCATAGGATTCTCCAGGCAAGAATACTGGAGTGGGTTGCCATTCCCTTCTCCAGGGTAACTTTCCTATCCAGGGATCGAACCCACATCTCTTAAGTCTCCTGCATTGGCAGGCAGGTTCTTTACAACTAGTGCCACCTGCGAACCCAAAGAATACAACAACATGCAATGACTGCTATGATGTGAAAATATCTGATTTCGACTAGAGACAGAACAGCTGTAGTTGGTGTACTCTGCTGAATACACAACTGAAAAAACTGCATCATATAATGAGAGATTAGTGAAAATAGAGAGGTAATTCTTCCCCCACCCAAGTTCACGGCTCCTCTGAAAACATCCATGGACCCTACGTTGAAGAATATCTGAGCTCCTGTAATTACCAGTTTTTGCTACCTGACCTCAAAGTCCTTATGGGCAGGGACAAAGTCATGTCACAACACTCAAAATAAATATTTGAGAAAACATAAACAATAAACGAACAGGAAGCCCCTGCCTGTGAGGCCTCCTAGAACACCGTCTAGATGGTACCAGTCTCGCCAGCATTTCTCGTTGGGAAAGAGCACTTTGTTTAAGCTTTAAATGCACTCAACTCCTGTCTCCTGTCTCCACACAAGCAAGGAGGTGGCCAGCTCAAATGGCTGTGGGACCAGGAGAGGACCCCGGCCCAAGGAGAAGGCAGCCCCAGGGTCTCGGGAGGTGGAAGGGGGCTCAAGGGAGAAGCTCACATCAAAGATCTCGAAGCCAGCGATGTCCAGGATCCCGATGAACGAGGCGCCCTGCCTCTTGGTCTTGTCCAGAGCCTTGTTGATGCGCAGGACCAGCCAGCGGAACATGCGCTCGTAGGTGGCCTTGGCCAAGGCCTCGATGGCAAAGTCAGCCTGCGGGGACACGGGGCGGGGCGGGGGGAAGGTCAGACACAGGAAGCCTTTAAGCTCTCATTCCCTTTACCCCAACAACGTCACCTGCAGGGCCCACCCCCAGAAAAACAGCCCCAAAGATGAGGAAAAACCTTCAAGCACAGATATGTTCACTGCAGTGTTATTTATAATGAAGGAAGTTGCAAGAGCCTAAACTTTCAACATTACATGCCAAATGAACTTGTGTGCATGCATGCTAAGTCGCTTCAGTTGTGTCTGACTCTGCAACTCTACGGACTATGGCCTGCCAGGCTCCTCTGTGCATGGGATTCTCCAGGCAAGAATACCGGAGCGGGTTGCCATGTCCTCCTCTAGGGGATCTTCCCAACTCAGGGATCAAACCTGGGTCTCCTGCATTGGCATGCATGTTCTTTATCACTAGTGGCACCTGGGAAGCCCCAGAATGAACTTAGAGCTTTGTAAAGACTTTTTTAAAATAAATGGATATGAACTGAGGTATCTATAGAAGAAATGACATCTGAGATGTACTTCAAGTAACACAGCTAGGGGTATGGAGACCAGACTAACCAGAAGCCAAGACCAGCCATGAGTCAGTGACTCCTGAAGCCTGGACCCTGGGCCCAGCTTCCTCCTGCTCTCAGTGAGGGTGACACTACCTGCTCTCCAAGGTACCGTGAGGACTCAGAGAGGTGACAGTGCTAATACAGGGGACGCCCCAGGGCAGGCCTCAGCGTGGCCCCTGCAACAGTCCTCGCCAAGGAGGTGGCCCAACCTCCCAGCCAGAGGGCTTACCTGCTCCTTCGTCTGCGCCTTCTGGACATAATCCCGTCCCACCTTGATGCGCGGGGTGAGGATTCCTCGGGTGAAATCGGTCACATTGATACCCAACAGGTGGGATACTTTCTGGGCAGCTAATATTTTTCAAAGAGTAAGGAAGGAAGGGGTAAAAAGGTTTTAATTAAACCCAAGAGAACAAGTCCCTCTGCTTAACCTGCGAAAGGTGTGGTAACTGCGTGATCGTTACCAGGACAATCAACCCAGGCCCAGCCCTTCCTCCAAAGGGCACAGAACAGTCGGCTCTCCCCTTAGACAGGCCAGCGGGCATGGCTCCCAACTCAGGGCCCCACATCGGGACCTCTGCACACCCTTGGCCACATCCTGAGTGTGAAAGAGGGTCCTAAACAAAAACAGCACCACCCTAGACATAGGGACAGAACAGGACAACTCATAGGCCCATGCATTAAATTCTGAGGTGCCCCTCAGAAGCACCTGTTAAGGCTAACTTAAGGAGGGCCGCTTGCAATGACCTGAGAATTAGCAACGGCTGAAGAGCTAGGGTGAGGACAGTGTTTCATGTCCTCCCAAGTTCACAGGCAAGTTGAACGACAGCAGAAATGACTGTTTTACAAACGGAGACAATCAGTCTGGTCTCAGCATAAATGAGAGAAACTCGGGGCCACACATCATGGGTTTTCTAGCTCATCCTGACACTCCGTGAAGGAGCAGCAGGGTCACATTCACGAGAGTTTTACAAAAATACGGAGTGACAGGAAGCCACAAACACATGTGCAGTAAAAAAGAAGAGTGTCTAAGATCTCTCCAACACTCCTTCTCCTGAGCCATCCCACCCAGGCCCCTACCCACATAGTCAGGTGAGGGGCCCATGGGGTTACCTGTGTTGTCGGGCATGGAGGCCTGGTCGCTGTTACGCTCCTTCTTGAAGACAATGTTGCCTAGCTGGAGGACCCCCGAGATGACTCGCAGCAAGCCTTGGGGTGCAATGAAGGGCAGCTCAGAACCAGCTGGGGTGTCACCCGTCAGAGGCCCTCAGGTAAGACAAGCCATGTGGGGCACCAGGCCTTGGCCTAAGCCACATCTCCAGGGCCTCTGGTCGACCTCCGCTGGGGCAGTCTTGTGCTTAGATACAAGTTCTGTTAATGCTTCTAAGTTCAGATGTGCCTCTACCTAGCGCCCACTGTCTGTTTTTACAAATAAAGTTTTATTGGAACACAGCCAGGCCTGTCCAAGTACATGCTGTCAGTGGGAGAGCAAAAGTGACCCTGACTCTAATGCTGGAGAACAGGGCACACACGCCCCAGCCCCTAATCTTCCTGAAATACAGCATCAAGGCCCCCCTCACCTCCCTCGAGAGAGACGAGAAGACACAGGCAAGCTCCACAGCACTGTCACCCTGGGCGTCACCAGTGCAGAAACCCCAGCCCCTTCCACACTCGGCTCAGACAAAGCAGGAATGTGCCACTTCCAGCACATGGCAAGGACAGGAACAGCAGACCCAGGCCCTGGGCAGCTAGGAGCCTGTCCTTTGTCCTCGTATGTCTCCAGGCGACATGACCAGGAAGAAATAACCCTGAGCCTCAACCCTGCGGGCCCGCCTCCCGCCACTCAGCCCTCCTCCGGTCTCTATGGACTTCCTAACGGCCAGTGCCAACAGGAAGCGCTCCCCAGCCTCCCCGGGAAGGGCCGGCCCTTACCCATCTGCTCTTCCTCTGGGATGCCCATAATCCGAAAAGCCTCCATGGTCTCCTGGAACATGTCCTTGTCCTGTTGCCCGGGAATGGTGACATGCCCGTTGGACAGGAAGCGGTATTTGTTGTATGACTCCAGCAGGAGATCAGCTGTAGGGGGCAGAGGGCAAAGTTCAGTGAGGGTCAGGAGGCTCCAGTCAACCCTGTGACCTCAAAGGTGTGGGAGATGGGGAAGCATCCCGAAACACCCCAGGAATGCTGACTCTCCCCAGCATGTGAGACAGGCACACACAGAGGCCCCCACCCAAGAGCATCAAGGCCCAGAAGTCTGCAGCTGCAGTGACCTGCCCAGGCTCCCTCTGGCCTAGTTGGAAATAGGGGCCAAGCCCGCAGCCGGCCCAGGAACAGAAGTCAGGCTTGCCTTGCCTGCCCCCAGGCTGAGATTTCGTTTCCCGACTTCAGTGTATGGCCTGACTGCGGGGGGGATCCCCTAGGTGGGCCCACGACTCACACTTGAGGTGCTCCCCAGCCCCAGACAGCAGGTAGTAGAAGATGTGGAAGGTCCGCTCTTCCTTGGCTTGGCGGATGGCACGAGATTTCTCCAGGAGATCTTCAAGAACATTAAGGAACTGTGCATACTGTTGGGAAGGCAGCCCCCCACATTCCCCCATTCAAAAGCCATGGAACTGCACCAGCAGAAAACGGCAAAACAAAACAAAGGCAAACTACCCCGGCTCTGTCCCTCATGGCGTGCAGCCTGTCCAAACAGCAGCCCCCACACTTGGGAGCCAACACCTCCCCAGGCTATTGACATAAAGGAGCATCCACTCAACTCTACCCTCAGGGAACCACACTGGATGGCCTTCTATAGCTCCATCCCATTCAAAGATCAACTTTGCACGCGTGCTCAGTCGTATTCAACCCCCTGGACTGTAGCCCGCCAGGCTCCTCTGTCCATGGGATTCTCCAGGCAAGAATACTGGAGTGGGTTGCCATTTCCTTCTCCAGGGAATCTTTCCAACTCAGGGATCAAACTCATGTCTCCTATGTCCCCTGCATTGGCAGGCGGATAGTTAACCACTGAGCCACCTGGGAAAACCCTAAGCTCAACTTTATCCCTCCTATGAAGAAAAATCAACTTATCCTGGTCCTCTCCCTGGTGCCATAGACGAGAAGTAAGAGGCCAGTAAAAGGGAAACCGCAGCAATCAGGGAGCTCCCTCTTCTCCATCAAGGTCACTTCCCTCACCCCCAGAGGCAGAACACTTTTTACAGTTAACCACAAGGATACAAGTCTCAATGTTGGCTCCCACAATGTAGCCATTGACATCAAAGTTGATGCGGATGAACTTGCCCTGAGGAAAGACGGATGAAGAGATCAGATCCCCATCGTCCAGCCCCTCCCCCAGTGGCACAGTCTGGAGGCAGGAAACCAAGAGACTGAGCCTGCGTCTGGCAGCCAGGGACCCGGCACCCCAACCGCACAGGAACTCAGGCCTCAGAAGGGCCACACGGCTAAGCCTGGGCCACAACCAGCCCCAGGGATGCCCAAATTCCTCCAGAGCGGAGGAGAGAAGCAGTTATCTGGAGGCGCTCCTCCTGCTTGGTCTGACTGGGTTCTAACTGGCTGCGGTTACAGCCCGACAAGCAGGGGACCGGTGGGGACTCCCCACTGCCTCGCTGTCTTCGTCACCTGAGCTAAGGAAGCTCCTTACGCAGGTGTGTGACCCCATCTACTGCCTGCACAGGCCCAGAAGCACCAAGTCTGACCCTTCTCTGCGTCTGGGGCACAAACACCCGGTAGGAAGGTGCCCGTGAGCACCACCACTCACAAATCGAGAGGAGTTGTCATTCTTGACAGTCTTGGCATTCCCGAAGGCCTCCAGGATGGGGTTGGCCTGCAGCAGCTGCCGCTCCAGCTCACCCTGGAAAGGAACCCAGAGGCATGGTGAGGGCCAGGCAGTGGCACGGCTGCCAGACCTGCTCTGCCAGGCGGAGGGGAGGCGGCAGAGCCATGTCCACACGCCCCACGTGCCAGGGATGGGGGCTTCCGGACTCTAACCACGCCGGCCTTGGCCTGGTCCCCATCGTCACTCCAGAGCAACCTTCCTGCCAGATGTCTGGAAACGCTGCCTGACTTGAACTTGCTTCCTGAGCTAACCAACCCGCGGCCCTAGAGAGAGAAAGCAGTCTGCCCATCCAGCTCGGGGACCTGGCGGGACGGCCTGGATCAGCCCTGGAGGATGCACTGGAAGCAGCACTCGAAACAAGAGTGAGACAAAGAGGCATCAGTCCTTCCCTTGGATCGTGTCCATCCAGGACGCCGCCCTTCCTCTGCCCCCCGGGCCTCTGCTCCCCACCCAACAGCCCACAAAAAAATTTTCCCTTTCCATAGGACAAGGAGAGAGGTAACTAGATCCGCAAGACACCACCTTGTCACATCTGTGTCCTAATAAACTCTGCATTTTCCCTGTGGGTCCCCTGTCCTGCCGCTCCCCAAGCCACCCCCACCCCCCCTAAACCTGCTCCCAGCAAGTCAGGTGTCTGATGGGATCAGCAAGGCCCACTTTGAGTTCTAATTATTTACTGATAACATCAATAAGCCCTACTACGGTCTCATGATACTGGGTGGTTGGCAAAAATGTCCTCTTATTTACACCTTCTTATCCCTGGGTCCTCGTGATACTTAAGAGTAGGAAAGACAAGAGTAGCCCCATTTCACAGAAGAGAAAACTGAAGTTGAGGGAAGGGGAATGAATTGCCCGAGGTCATGGAATTCAAGGCTTCTACCTCACACCTGTCAATCACCACATTGTCTCTCACCACGCCCCAGCCCTACCTGGGGCTCCCTGCTATCAGGTGGGCAGGCCTTCGGAAGCAGTTATCCTCCTCTTGGCAGGCCAGGTAATAACTGACGCTGCCTGAGGAAAAGATGGCACTTGTTCACCTTACTACCTGGGCACTCTAGGGAGACAGCACATCACACAAGGGCCAGGTGGGGTTTTCTATTTATCGGCAGGGCTGGAGTCAAGCCAGGACTTTCTGAGAATAAAGGCTGCCTGTAATCTGTGATGAAAGGGAGAACAGGCAGCAGGCGCTCCCCGAAGAGCCAAGAACTGCAGCCTCCCAGGAACGCCTGAGACACACAAGGCCGCTCAGGCACACCATTCTGTACGTAAGTCTACAGAACACCAGGATGCTTCTGGGTCTGGAAAGGCCACCAGAGACTGGAGGGCACCCCATGACAGCCATCCCTGGTCAGGGATCCTCCCAGGGCTGGAGAGTCTTGACTTTGGACTGTAGAGATCAAGTGGAGAAGGGTCAGTGCAGCCAGGTCAAGGGGCAAAGGTCAAGCCCGGAGTGCAGGGCACCAGCAGTCCCAAGACACTGGCGTCCATCCCCCAGGCTCAGACGGGCTGGGAAGACAGCGAGGCAGCCCACGGACCCAGAGTTAGTTGAGCGCTGCTCCCCCACCAAAACACCTTCTCCAGGCACAGGCCAGGCTGACAGGCTGGCCGAGCCACTCCTGTTCCCACAGTCAGATGGGAGCTTGGTCCCCACCGGAGCAGGCAGCCTGCTTAGAGGCAAAGCTAAGGCCTCTGTTGGGAACACAGGCTGCTGCCGTGGAAACGTGGGGCCACTAGGCCAACCCAGGAGCGACCAGCTCGGATTCCCGAGCTGAACTCAGCTGAACCAAGTGGTGGCGGCTAACCTACAGGTTTCTCTTCATTGACGCCTAACCGGGCACAGGAGAGACCTTTACTTGTCAACGAAACCTGCATGCCGTGAAATTACGAGGCACTGCTATAGGCAGTGTGTGCTCGTGAGGTTTGGGATTATCTGCGTGGTCTCTGAAGGGCTTCCCTGGGTGGAGTTTTTGCCAGGGGCTTCCAACTAGTACACAAAAACCAGAGTGAGGAAGAGCATCAGAGGTCACTGTTCAGACTCTGGAAGTCCATCTGGAAAGACCCTTCACTCAGCGCCGCTTTGCCAACTTGCCGTCTGGCCAAAGTCTGGCCCCCCTTAAGGTGAGGTTTGGGGTATCCCAATGGGGGTTCTTGGGATGAGCACTTGGGTCCCTGCGGGGAGTGAGCTCCCCAGCGAATGCCGTGACAGGCCTAGAACACAAGGCACAAACCAAGTTCAAGAGTGTCTCATGGCCTAGCTCTGTGTGGAAAATCACTGCAGAGCTTCAGGCAAGGAAATCAAACAAACTGGTCAATAGCCTGTACAACTGAGGGCCTGGACGGTTGTGGGAAGCCAAGGGCAGCCTATTCAATCATTCGAGTTGAACTTGGAGCTGGGTACCGGGTGCCCATCACACAGTAGCCTGAGAAAGAGGATGTGACAAGTTCGCCTCCACTCGTCACAGCTCTCACATGCCGTCCTGAGTGCCTCCCCCCGCACCTGCAGATGGATCAGCCCCAGACATAACGCATGTGGGTCAACATCACTGCTCTCTAACTGTGGTTCCCCCTCCTGTCCTTCAGGGCAAGGACACCAAGGCCACCCTCTAGAGATCCAGACACATACTAGGCATTCAACCAGTAGTTGGGAAATGGATTTCTCTGCAAATCCAGAGATGGAAAACCACAGTGAGAGAACTCCTAACCTCCCCAGCCCTGTTTTTAAAATAGGTCCCTTAAAAAGAATGGAAATGGGGAAGGGGTGGGTAGAGAGAGAGAGCAAAAGAAAACTTTACTCGTTTCTAAATATAACTCCTGACACCCCTTGGAAAGATTCAGAATGTCTGGTGAAGTCTGGTGCATGAAAAAGTTACTTCTGGTTTGATTCCAGAAGACTATGCTCTTAGAACATTCTGCAGGACACACCCCAGGTCTGCATGCAAGAAGACACACACCACTACTTACTTATATACGCTGTACATGGCACCCTGGGGGGGCGCCCAGATGGCTGCAGGGGACACCAGTGGCACTTAGATTTCATAGGGAAGTTCAAGAGTGTGTACTTGAGAGACAGAGAGAGAGCACCACACGGGCATGCTTCAGACTGACCACACCCCGCTCTGGGGAAGCCCAGTGAGCAGATTCCTGGCACGGCTTCCGGCCAGTGCGGTAAAGGCCGCCCACCCCATCTGGTCCAGCACGCTGAGCGTGTGGAGGTCTGGTCAGGTGGACGCTCACCCCACTGTGCCTCGGTCAGGGATCCGCACGGGGACTTCTGGCCCTCATGCGCATGGGAACTCTGAGCTTTTGACAACAGCTAGGTGGTGAGACTGGTCCCCTTCCTGCCGGGGCTGTCATTGCAGAGTGCCCGCAAGGTCACCGTGTGTCACAACCCAGCCCCTCCTCCCAAGACAGTCAGTGAACCGAGCCTATAAGAAGAGGTCTAGCTGCAGAGAGTGACCAATGGTGTGGAGTGAAAAGCTGCTTAGAGAAAAATCATAATTCAACGGCACACGATGGGCAGAACACGCATTCCTGGTGTGCAACGTGCAGTAAACGTGCAGCTCACCTAGCGAGGACACTGCTGGGTTCGCCCACAGGCCACCAAGGGGGAGAGGGGGAGAAAAAGGGAAGTGAGATGATTTTGCAGCTGCCTGTTCTCTCTTCGCTGGGGGCTGTCCACCCAGAGGCATGAAAACACCAGGGAACAGAAGCAGTGGTTCCAGTGCCGGCCTGCCCGAGATCCTTCAAGTCTCCATCGACTTGAGAGCCAAGCTTTGGAATCTTCCAACCTCAGAGGTGGAGGCCATACAGCACAGGCTGCAAACTTCCGGCAGTCTCCAGTTTCCACAGCAACGCAGAGTTAGGGCCGGTCAAGGAGGAAATGGGCTGGCTAGCGCCAGACCTACTCCCAGGATGGTCAGGACACAGTCTCAAGGAAAGTGGGCCTGGCCTCTACTCAGTCCCCCAAATGCCAAGCCATGGATCACTAAGTGCTCTTCCCTGGGGAGACCAGGCACGTCCGTGGGGAGGAAGGTCACACTCACCTGGTCCTTCTTGCTCTTGTGCGATGAGGCCACGTGAGCCAGGTACTGAATGACTTTCTTGGTGTTCTCCGTCTTGCCAGCTCCAGACTCACCCCTGCCAGGAGAGCCAGAGATGTTCTCAGGGGAGAAGTGGCCAAATCTTTGGTGTCTCCCCTTTCCCACTGCAGGCTCTACTGTCTCCCATTCTGTGGGTGCCCATACAGGACACCCCCCGCAACCCCCACAACAGCCCATGGCAGGAAAGGGACAGGTTAAACTCTGGACTCCTCACTGGGGCCCTTTCCCACGGCCCTCCAGAGGCGTGACAAGAGTAAACTTCAGTTCACTGCCTGCCCTGGTCACTGGGCAGCCTTTGCTTCCAAAAGTCTCAGGAATCAGTCTGCAGCAGCTGTTGACTCAGGGGTCAAAGGCACTTATACATCTTCCCTTGAAACTTCACTCAAAGGAATGTTCTGTACTGTTAACTTCCTCGGCAGTGGGTTGATTTATCAGCTCCTCGTTAGGTTCAGAGGACGGAGGTGAGAAGCCCAGGGAAAGAAAGCTAAGGTTCAAAGCAGGAGAATGCATTCTGGGGGCCATCAGCTCCCAACCCTGCCTTGTTGAGAAAATGCTTGCTTTCCTTCTTGGCTATAAACCCCAGCCCCGCCCCCTCCTTTGAGGAAGGAGATTGAAGAAGGAGACTGGCCACGAAATAAAGCTCCTTCATACTGTGGGACCACTGAGAGGCAAACACTAAGCCTGTTCCCTGGGGAAGTGTGGGCTTCCCTGGTAGCTCAGACAGTAAAGAATCCACCTGCAATGCAGGAGACCCGGGTTCAATCCCTGGGTCAGGAAGATCCCCTGGAGAAGGGAATGGCAACTCACTCCAGTATGCTAGCTTGAAGAATTCCATGGACAGAGGAGCCTGGCGGGCTACAGTCCATGGGGTCACAAAGAGTCAGACATGACTGAGCAACTAACTTTCACTTTTCACTTTTGGGGGAAGGGGTAGGGGATTGACTTGGGAATGGATCTCATGGACCTAGGTTTTGGTAGGAGTTCCCCAAGAGTAAGAACAGAACAGAGTGACCAAGGCCCCGCCACCCAGACAGAAACACTTACGTGCACAAAATGGACTGGTCCTCTCGGTCTGAAACAAAAGAGATATGAGGTTAACCTCCAGGACACATAAAGCATCCCCCTCCAGTTTCTGAAGAGCTGCTCACTGCCCCCACTCCCACCTTCTAGAAGCAGAAAGCCTCAGACGCTGGCCTTGCAGGGGGATTGGGGGTTCCACACCATCAACACACGCTGACCCCCTGCCTCAATGCGAGGAGGGACATCCCCCGGTGGCAGCTGCTCCCTCCTCCAGGGGCTCAGACTGCCCGCCCTGACTGCCCACCCAGCCCCAGTTCCGTCTGTCCACCTCTGAGGAAGCCAACCTCTGGAAAGCTCCCTGGAAATCTACTTTCCTGAGTGCTAAGGTGGGGCCTGCCCTGTGCATTTCTAACTTGGGGTCGTTGGAAACAAGGTCTGCGGCAGATGTTTAAAACACTGTCCCCATCCAGGAAAGAGGCACAAGAAAGACGCTGGGTAAAAGGTGGGGTCAAGGCTGGCTTTGCAGTGAGACAGCCCTGGGCTAAGATGCTGCCTTGCCATGGCCTTCCCAGAGCCCAGCCTCCACCCATGATGGGGGATAAGAGTGTATGTGGAAATTACATGCATGAAAGCATCAGTGTGGTGTCTGGCATGGGGAAATTGCTCAGTAATGTGAGTTCAGAGGCAGATCGGAAAGAACAGAAGCTCTTCAGAATCAGCTCCTGACCAGTTTCTGTGACAACTGGGGTCTCCCCGCCTGGGGGTCAGGAACTCTCAGCCACTCTCCTAGCTCTGTGAGCCACTCAGCCAGCCAGGATGTAAACAATGCTCTCCCCTTGGGGGCAGGTGGAACAGTAATGTTCAGCTCTGAAAGCAAAGTTTGACAGAAATGCTTTATTTAAGTTATCAGGGTTGGCGTGGCTCAGTCCTGAGTGTGCAATTTTAAGCAACAGCTAAAAATAAAACCTTTTTCTTTCCACATTTTATCCCATCGCAAGGAACACCCCACCCACCTCCTTGAGGTCAAGTCAGCCTGAATCCAGGACCAGGCTACTAACAGACACTTAGCTGCAGTGAGGTCTGCGGTTCCCAAGTCCTGGTTTCCTCATCCATCCATAAACATACTACTAACTCCCTGACAGGATTAGTTTGAAAAACAGAAAGAATGTGCAAAGGACCCAGCCTGGAAGCCTGCGCAAGGAATGGACTCCACAGGCAGTTGCTGTCCATCTACGTCCCCATCAAGAAGCCACCATGATGGGTGGTGCTGACTCGGTCAGGGAGGTAGAAGAACTAGTTGAGAAGTAACCAGGGTTCCAGCAGCTGTCAGTAGCCTCAGTGCTGGAGAGAAACTGGCATCAGCCATCTGGAAGAACACACCCACGGGCTCGACTGCCCAGCCAGGACCCTGCAGGACAGGGCATCTCGAGGCAGACTCAGGGTGGCCTGTGTGTGTGGCCTCGAGAGATGGATTCAGCTGTTGGGCACCAGCAGATACTGCGCAGCAAGGTCACCTGCCACTCCGTGAGGGGGCCCTCCTGCATGCTGATCCCAGCAGCCCACTCGGCTGCACCATTTCTGACGACCACCTCTTCTCCTGTCTCGGGAGGGAGAAAAGGGAGTCCAGCCAGGGAGGAGCAACAGGAAAACTTGCATCCAACACAAGCTGCAGCTGCCCCTCCAGCCCTGAGAAATATCAGCAGCACGGGGGTGTGGAGAGAACCCGGCCACTCACACGGACACAGCCCGCACCCTGCCCCCCACTGGTCAAGGGTTCAGGGCAGACCCGGAGGGTGACCTTGCTTCCAGCTCTCAACTTTCCCAAAGAACAGGGTCCTTCAAGGCTGCACAGCAGGGTCTGAGACAGACCTGGGTCCCAGATAAGGCAGCAGGGAAGGGAAGGCAGGGGGAGGGGCAGGAGGGAGGTGCTAAAGGTGGGGGAAGCCAGGGCAGAATAAGAAATTAAGGGGGCTGGGGGGGTGGCACAGAACAGAAAAAACACAGCTGTGATGGGGTCAGGCCTCCCTCCCCCAACCCCCGCTGCATCTCAGAGGCTGCCCAGCAGCTAGCGTGTTCAGTCCCGCTCCCTGGGAGCAGGCAAGAATGTACCTGCACGGCGCGGCAAGTCGGCAGGCAGTGGCGGCTGAGGCTACCATAAAAGGAAACATTCCCATCCCTTCCAGCAGAACCGTTTTCCCAGGGCTGTCCAGGCCTGGTCCCTGGGCCGGCTGGAATTCCTCTGATTGTGTGAGGGGGAGTCAGATGCTGAACGGCTGAACAACAGGAAGCAGGGGCCCCAAACACACACGTGTGAGCACGCACATACAGCCACACTGTGCACACAGACCCACACGCACACACACAGGGCTTTGGACAAGCTGCATGTGGACATGCATACACATGAATGCAGAGACCAGACGTGCCTGGGCGCATGGGCAGGGCCATGAGTGTGCACACAGGCACACGTACACACAGACGCGCACAGCTGTGGGTGCACACACACAGACAGAGGCACTTACACAGAGGACCGCACACACTTCACATCCCACTCCCAGAACTAAATGCTCATGGCTTCATCCGCTCCCCCGTCTCCAGCTCTCCCTGCTCTCTGACCTTTCACCTCCAACTCCTGAAGCCAAGGTACCACTGTCAACACAGCCTAAAAGGAAACCCTCCAATCCTTGAATTCTACACTTTAAAGAAACCTTCATTTCCTTCACCAGAACATTTGCTGAGGCAAATACTTTTGCAGAGGAAACGTGACAGGAGGCGTTTCTGACTTCCTCAACTCTTGCCACTAAATCCACCTGCCCACCATCCCCTAGAACCTGTCGATTTCTCTCTTTTTACAGAAGAGAAAGGTCTGCAGAAGAGACAGGTGAGGTAGGCACCGCCTCTGGTCTGCACAAGCCTGTCTCACCACATATGGCTCTGTTGCTGCACTTAGAAGCATCTCTTCTGGGTAGGGCTATTGTTTCTGTTTAGTCACGCCCAACTCTTTGTGACTCCATGGACCATAGCCCACCAGGCTCCTCTGTCCGTGGGATTTTCCAGGCAAGAATACTGGAGTGTGTTGCCATTTCCTTCTCCAGGGGATCTTCCTGAGCCAGGGATCCAACCCAGGGCTCCTGCATTGGCAGACAGATTCTTTACTGCTGAGCCACCAGGGGTCAGGCAGGATGGGGGAAGTGGAAGGAATTCTCAGCGGCTCTCCCCGTGGCTCAGTTTACTGTGCCAGAAACCCAGTGCATTCCGGACAGAACCCTCCTTAACACACACTCCATAAGCTCTCCCCATAGGGTCCTCTCTAGGGACACGGACCCTTGAGAGTTGAGCCCACTCCATTGTTTGCTCAAGTCTTTATTTGAGTCTATGTGGAATGAAGGCTTATTTGAAAACACCCTTCCTTCCTCCACTACAGAGGAGACAGACAGACAGACAGATAGGAATCCCACAGCCCAGAACCAGGGAAGTGAACCCACCAGAGAAAATCCTGTTCTGGGAAACAGGCTCCCACAGGATGAAGACAGTAGCCTGACTTAGGGCCCCTGAACCCCTCCTGCCCTGGTCCTGCCTCGGCAGGGACCGGGTAGAGGCAGGAACACGAATCTCTGCAGTGATTTTCAACTCTCTTAAAATCCACAGCAGGGACTTTCCTGGCGGTCAAGTGGTGAGACTCTGCCTTCCAATGCAGGGGTTTCTGGTTCAATCCCCGGTGGAAGAGTTAGGATCTCACATACTAAAAAACCAAAATGTTGAAACAATATTGTAGCAAATTCAATACAGACTTTAAAAGCAGCAGCAGCCTTTCCTCAGGAAAAAAAAATCTTCCTGAATCCCCCATATGAAGAATAGGAGATAAAAACCAGAGCTGCTTGGGAGGTGGAGACAGGGTTTCTGGGAACACACTTTACAACTACCGGTCCATGTGTCTGGAGCCACAGGGGAGAGAAGAAAGCCGCTGGCTGGGTGCCCTAGAGGCTGGGGCAGCACCCTCGTTCTGCACGTCCCCATGGGATGCCTGGCCCCTCGGCCTCCGGGCAATCAGAGGGCAGGATTCCCTGGCAGCGCCGCTCCAAGGATCAAATGAGGCGGGTGCCTAAAGCCGGAAACAGAGGGCAGGGTTTGGAGACTGACTGCAATGACCCCCACCCTCTGCACCTCCCAGCTCTCCCAAATGCATCGCCTCCTCACAACAACAACAATGAGAAAGGTTTTAAGTTACATATCCAGTGATGAGGCCAGTCCCTCCCCGGATTTTATTTTAAACTCCAAATGCCCTGAGGCCTTTTGGAGCCAATTCTGATGTGCACATAGACAGGTGTTTCCAGCCAGCTCAGGAGGTCCCGGCGCAGGTGGGTGGGGGGGAGCCCCAACCACAGGTATTTCAGGCCAGGTAGATGCTTTACAGGCTTCTGTGAGGGGCCTTCTCGCTCACTTCCTCTGAAAGAGGAGCTGCCGATTCTTGTCCATAAAAGGCCACGCAGCTCGCTCAGCCGTGATGTGACATCAGCCCCAACAGGAAGTACGGGAGGAAGGGAACAGGTCTGGTTCACCCACTGCGGGCTGCCGGGGGCTGACTCATCGGAGGCTCACTCAGATAATGCCTGCTGGCCTTCTGCGGGGCTGCCCCCTGGGGACACCTGGAACAGGGTTCTGCCTGCAGGGCCCGTCTTCAGATCAACAGGGTTTTTCTCCAGAACCAACTGAGATGTGGATATAGTCCAAGCAAAAATGAATGCACAGGGCAGTTGCAGGTTAAGACAGCCCAGCTGAACGGGTGAGACACGGCACGACTGGTGGACCTCCAAGTGTCCACACCAAGGGGGCTGGTTTTTTGCTAAAACTGCATAGCAGACCCCCGTGTTGCCCGCTGTCGGACCCCTGCTCGGTGTTGGCTGGGACAGAAGCCTCGAGATGCAGGGACAAATTCCAGGGCTGCAGGTTACTTCTCCCGAGACCCTCTCAGGGACAGCATTTTGGTCCCGGGGGTGAAAACACCAGGCACTCTGCCAGGTGTAAAATGTGGAGAGACTTGTGGGTTTGAGCTCA